TGAGAAATAAGAGGGCTTTGCTGATCTCAGCTGAAAAGGAAAATCGTTTCAGAAATGAACAAATATTATATAATTTGCACTGATTAATTGCTTCGAACCCTATCTCCCCCAAAAAACAGCAGTTTTAATGTGTGCAATTCAGTAAAATTTCATATGTTGGGATTCATATAAAAAATTTGTAGACGATTTGTAGACTATAAAAAAATATTTTCATGATTTGTTATCACATCTTTTTATCTTTTGTCATATCAACTTAGATAATTAATGTGGCTCAGATAACAATATTTTGAGTTTCTATTTATTAAACCAACCTCCTTTATTGCTTTATTGTATTAACATTTTATTTTTATTTCAATGAACTCAAAATTAAGGCAACCAGGTAACTTAATTTAAAAAAGTACGCCAGCAATATTTTTTTACAGTGTGAAAAGTGTAAGTATTGAGTTCTTGCCTAAAACGTGAACATAGAGAGAATGGCAAGGCGTAGCACCAAACACTAGTCCCAAACAATGATCAAACTTCTTGCGGTGTGTAGATAAAAAAAAAAAAAAAAAAAAACACATGCACTGATGAACCCAAAACCGTTTTGCGCACTTTTGCTCTTTATTTGTGTCCACAAATCTTGTGAGCTTTTTTGGCCAATTTTCATGTGCGGATCATTTTTCTTATTTTTAAAACGAAGACATACAAATGAGGTTGTACGAATTCATACAAGTATGCACAAAACAAAATAGCTACGAATTGAGGTGAGACTGTTGACTTTTTTTCTTCTTTTTTTTAAAGTACATTAGGAAAGAAAATAGGGAAAATTTGGGTTTCAAGTTAACCCTAAAAAAAATAATTGTAGCTTTTAAATTCGAATGGTTTGACATTTTACAATACACGTCCCATGGCAGAAAACGTTAGAAAATGGTGTGAATGGAGACAACAGGAATGTGAATATGAATTTGATTATTCGTGTATAATCCAGATATCTGAAAATGTGAAATAGTCCCCTTCAGGTTGAACTGTTGCCCTCCTCCCTCCTCCAGCCCCCCACCCGCTTCTCTTCGTCTCATTGTTTTTCTTGTGGGCTAGTCTTCCTGTGCACCTGTGAATCAAGCTTCCTGTGTCTTTCTGTCAGTGCTCACACTGTCCCCTAAAACCACTCTGCTCGCGACTGCTATCGCTCAAGCGTAACTAAAAGCCGACTAGTAGTGTGAAAACACAGACAGCAGCACTACAGTTTATATCAACACACAACCGTACAAATATGGTTTTGCATGGGGCGCCAAGTGTGACCTGCCTAATTTTGTGGACAAAAATTCATTTTGTGACACGAAATGCTGTATTTCATGACAAAATGCTACGCTTTAATGCATTTTACACACAGAAATACAAACGCCAGTCACATTTTCTCAACCGTAATAATAAAGTTGAGTTATGAAAAAATGCATTTTGTGATTCCTTTTTGTGGATAACATAAATATCACATTTACAGAATGAATATTTTGTGCTGCTGTACATTCACCATTATGTCCACAAAATGAATTCATTCCATATACAAAATCAGTTAATGGTTTACAATTTCATGAAAACGTACACATTATGTTGCATTCACATTATGCAACTGGCTTTTGTCTTTGAGCGTACAGCATGTATTCAAGTGTAACCGCATTTTTTAATACAGCATTTTGTGTCAAGAACTGAATTTGGTCCATGAAATTAAGCAGGTGACACTTGTATGGTGTTATAAACATTGCTTCATGTGTCTGAGCACCTGGACCACAACAACACGGACTCACTGACCAATAGCATGAGTTTGGGGGCGGGGCCATTTGCTGGGCTGACCAACTGAAAGTGTTGGGAAACAGGTTTGAAAACAGCTGTTATCTTTGCAATTCTTTTTGGTTCCACTGATGGTTTGGTTCTTTTTGGTTTCGCGGAATGAAAAATAAAAAAGGTAATTGCAACTTTTTTTCGTCACAATTCAGACTTTATAACTCGCAATTGAAAGTTTTTATCTCACAATTCTGGGGAAAAGTCAAAATTGCGAGATACAATGTCAGAATAGTGAGATATAAACTTGCAATTTTTTTTTTAAATTATTATTATTCCATGCCAGAAACAGGCTTCCAAAAGAAATTACACGTTTGCCTTTAAAGGGGTCATAAGGGGTTTTAAGTATTTGAATATGTTCCTTGAGGTTCACTTATAATGTTAATAAAGTTTTTGCACAAAAACAAATATATATGTAGAAAAACGATTATTTATTAATTGTCAGTAAACGCCACTGTTATGATTGGCTAACATCATTGCATAGCAATGAGTATCAACGCCTACTCGCTATTGCATGTTAGTAAGTGTTTTGAAAACATTATCTGTATAAAACCGTCATTTACAGACAAAGCATTATGAAAACAATCACAGTTTGTGATGCAGCTGCTGTCAGATCCAATACAGTTCATCTTTCAAAAACATATAATCCTCCGACGCGAACCATGACGCAATTAAAAATAAACCATCAATTTGGTCCTGACGCTGGTCTCTTTCTGAAGTCTGTGCAGAAATGAGCAAATGAGCTGTTTAAACATACTCTTGGAAATGGAAATACTCTTCCATGGGTCCTGTTGTCGAGAGACTCAAGCGCGTGGAGTACGTCAGAAACTGTCCACTGCATCCAGTGTAGACAGCGTCAGTCATTATAATGGGTTCTGTCTGCTGCACATGTAACATACATGAATTAACCCCCCGACACAGCAGGACACGAGACGTGAGAAAGTGCAGAGCCGTCCCCCACACACACATCTTTCCAGATAGTTGAATCCCAGCCGCTGTAGATTTTGAGTTTGGAGCACAGTTGTGCAACAGCTGAAAGAGACTATCGCTATACATCTGTAAAGCAACTTTTTCACTCTGCACACTAGCACAGGTTAATAGAAGAAATCGACAATACAACCACACACCTGCTTCAGAGTGAGAAAACAAGCTGCGGCATCGGCATACATGCATATATTTGTACATATAAATGAACATATGACCGAACGAGATTGAAGTGAAGTTTACGCACACATTAACATATAGCTAATGAAAACAATGCCCTTGGAAATAAATGAACGCGTCATTAGGGTAGCAGATGAACATGGTAACCCCGTTGAAAGCACGAATGAAAAAATAATATTTCTGTCATAATTTCTTGAAGTTAAACCAGACTTTTATTGTGACGGTTTGTCGTGAAGATCTTTCAGTTTCAGTGTCAGTGTGTATTTGACAGTATTTTTTCCCAAAATGAAGCTTGTGAAGTGACTCTCAAAGCAGCTCTGGGGATAAAGTTCATGTGTTAGTGTCCTCGTATACGCAGACGGCAGATGCTGAAAACAGTGTGAGATTCACATGTGTGTGAGTTTGTGTATCAGACGAAACCGCGCCGTTCATTCACACAGAGACGCGCAGAAATCACTTATCAGTGACATGCGTTTACTGGCTGTCGTGGCGTTCATTTCGCGTTATCTCATTTATAATATCGTTTATTGCCCTGTCCTATTGCAGATTACTCTGACTTTTTAAAATCTAACATCACCATTTTTGAATAAATTTGCTATCGTTCATGTGAATGTGACAACGCAAGAAACGTTTTTCAACTAAAACAAAAAACTTTTTATGCGTTTTGGCTGTTCATTTGAACGACACTGCCGTTTTGTGGGCCTGAAAACACAAACTTTCAGTCTATAGGCGCAAAGTGTTTCTTTACAAAGTGACATCGCCAACTACTGGCCTGGCATGTATAATTTTCAGTCGGTTTTCGGAAATACCTTTCCGTGTTTAGGACATCGTTGTCGTGTAAACATGCCCTGAGAGTGAATGTGTGCACTCTAAAATAAAATATTATTTGCAAATAGTTTAAATTAGTACGACCTTTCTTTTTTTGATTGCCTAAAATTTCTTTGAATACTTTGATTAATTCCTTTACATTAAATGACCAATTACCCAATTTCAGTTTGGGCTAAATATACCCAAATATCCACTATACCTAGAGCCGCCCCTGGATTCTCAAGAAGATGTATTCATATTAGCGAGCTCATAGATAACCGTGAATGTGGAAAAAAAAATTCAACATTCTGCAAAATCTTTGCATCCAAGAAGAAGCGAACAATATACAGGAGGATAATAAGAAAAATATCTTTATTTGACTTAAAAAAAAAACATCCAGATTTGAAATATAATAGACAAAACAACAACAAAAAGACAATTAAAACAGTTAAAGCTGGAAACAAGAAAATTGAAAAGTTTTTTTCTCTTCATGCCTCTTTCATTCACACATCTGACATCATCACAGTTTTGTGGGCAGTTACCTGATCTCGTGCGAGACACACACACACACGCTCTCTTTTTCTCACGCACACACATACAGTACACACTGGGTAGAAGCAGATTTTGAATTGATAACATTTGCAACATAGATCTTTACTCGAAGGCAGATAACAATCACACACACACACACACACACACAGCCACAAACTGTTTCTTAGTATTTAGCATTATATAACTTCTTGTCAGATGTCATTCAGAGAAATAATTACTTTGATTACATTCAAGATATCTATACACCTATACAGTACATTCGGCTTTGCATTTACACACTTACATGCATGCAATATAAATACTCATATGTCGCCGAGTTAAAAAACAATGAGGAAAAATAGAGAATTGTGTTAGGAAAGCAGTGTAATACAGACTGGAAAAAGAAAATTATGCAAAATATACAGCGATTTATCAAACATATTTGACCCACTAACAAACAGTTCTTACTATATTTTGAGAGAAAAATAGTTACATTTGTAGTTGTTACTTTTGGTCCTTAAAAACCTGCTTCATCTTTTCTAATTTAATACAACATGTTTCACTACAAAAGCATGACGATTTGAGTGAAAAGTTGAACTTGTCTAATAGCATTTTGTTGTCTCGCTTTCATGACCGCCGACATGAACTGATGACCATATTTTGACAATAAGAAATCTGACCAAGAATCTCAGATCTCCCATGTGTTCTCAGACTTTTGGGCCGCACAGTTTATCGAGACATAATTCACCAGCAACTTTGATCATCATGAAAATCACTATATGATCGTTGTGTCCGAAGAGCTGTTTAGATGCGCGTTGTAGCTTTTGGGATGTGAAAGTGGGTACTTGGTCAGGCAATTGCAGTACGATTTCAAGTCTTCATTACCATGTTAATGATCCTTCATTTGGAACATGAGCTCTTCTATGTGACGGTTACTCTTGCAAGTGTTGGATGCTCCTCTGATACTCTTCTACAGGTAAAGCACCGTGACTCTGAAGCTCGTATCCGCGCAAGTAGTGACCGTTGGTCTGGCCTGCAAAATACAGGAGCTGCCTGGCAAACATGGGCTCCACCTGAGAAACAAGACAAGACATGTTCAGCAGATCTCACGCCAGATGGAAAGATTTCACACCACAACTATTCTTAGTTCTGGCATGAAACTCTAGATGGCGCAGGCTGATAGGTCTTTAACTCATTCGGTAGAGATCACATCATTATCTACATGGCACAGCTGATTGGTTGCTGTTGCAATCAGTGGCCAACATTCAAACACTGGTGTGTTGCTGCTGGTAGCATTATGCAGTGTGCTTTCAGAAACCCTTCCCCTTCCCCAGCTCCACCTGTATAGATCTGCCACGGGGGTTACTTCATGTATGTGACGTGTGCAAGCATGTCTTACATCCTCACAGCAGTGTCTGTGAATGAATTGGCAGTAGAAAGTCTCGGTAGCAGATCTATTACGTCAAGACCAAATACATTAACATTGCCGTATCCATTACCATGCCAATCTCCCAAGAGTTGTCATGACAGAATAACCGTAACGTCACAGGAAAATATTGTTGGAATCACTTTCAGAACGATTTTTCCAGCTGATAAAAACACTGACGGCCAATCAGAATCCATCGTGCCTTAAAGAGCCCGAGCCTGACAAAACTGCAGTGCGCACTAAAGATAAACAGATTGTTATCGTTCGCTGATGTCTACACTAATACAGATATCATTACAGTTATCTTTATTGTTATCGCTCTTGGTGTGAACTGGCTTTAGTGAGGTAAAGAACTACAATCCCCTGAGGCATTGCGAACAGCATAAGAGCTCTTTTGGCCGTTTAGCTTGTCATGACTCTCTGATTGATGGACATTTCTATACAGCATCAATGGGTAATGTAGTTTTCACCACAAATTCTGCTGTTAAACACGATTATAAAAATAAAATAAAAGTTGCACTCTAAAGTTGTGCTCTATTGCAGATCTTCCTTCTCATCAAATTGAGACGTCCTGTAAATCTTATGCATCGTTAAGCACTTTTGTTCTCTATCGTTACCAAGATGATGCTGACGTTTCATTCTAAACATCACATCTGGGTATGCTCCTCACTGTTGGTGAATTATGATTATTTCAATCATGCCAACTCGGGGAATAGTTTTAGCATGTTATTGAATATGGCAATGTTAATGTATTTGGTCTTGGCAGACTAGATCAGCTGCGCTGTTGATTATTAATAGATACAAAGACACGCTGCTGTGAGCATGTAAGATATGATGATGATGACGCATGAATAGGCATACATAAATCCCGTAGCAGGTGGAGCTGGGGAGGTGGAGGGGTTCAGAGGAACTGTGATAAAGCGCCACTAGCAAACACTGAACCAGTCTATTTAAATGTTGAGCAAGCAATCTCATTGGCTGCAGGATCAGCAGAGGCCAATCAGCTTGTGCCATGAGGTAATGATGTGCTTGCAGATTTAATTCAAAGGACCAGCCTGCACCCTCAAGAGATTCATGACTGAACTAGATATGTATAACATATCTGAATACAGTGTTTGAAGAATATGCATCTACTGTGTTCACACTAAAGGTGATGATACACAGGGCAACATTTTGAGCAATGTTGCTGGGCAATCTTGCCGAGCGATTGTTGCTTGGGCACTTTCCCATTGAAAATGGGCAATAAATTTCTATCTGGATATTTTAGGTCGGTCGTGGTTGCCCGTTGACGGCAACATTGCCCAGCAACATTGCTCAAAAAGTTGCCCTGTGTATCATCACCCTTATACATTTAAAATCCCAGACCGCAACATAGTGTCGGCCCAGATCCGGTACATGTGGACTCCACGTGTTTCAGATGTGAGCCGGATCTGGGTAGACACTATGTTGCTGTCTGGGATTAGTATGGAGGTGGCTGGTTTTACCTGAGCTGTGATCATTTTGCTCTGCCGCTGGGGGTCCGGGAACTCGTCCCCAAAGCACAGCACCACCTGAGAGCGCGGCATGGGGCGGCCGTGGTGGATGAAACCCTGCAATTCTGTATTGAGAAGAACAACAGATCACATCATCAGTTAAACAGATAATACAGTCGAATTTCACATATTTAAGGGTGAATCTCACACAAAAAAGCTCATCCCACTATCAAAATAAAAACATATTTAGCATGAAGAACATGAAGCCATTTTGGATCATTGAAATTTTTGTCAATATAATGTCAAAATTACCGAAATGCATGTTTTGCCTATTGTAATTATTGATCAATGGTAGGTTATTCTCATTATATATTACTATAATACACTGTAAAAAAAGGTTTTGTAAAGTTAAAAGTTTTGTAAATAAAACAAAGATTATTGGAGTATGTTCAACAAAAAAATACTATTTAAGATTTCACAACTGAATACATTTGTTACTCGCCATTTCCTTGTAATAATTGTGAAATTTACTAGCAAATTCTGAGTGAAAATTTGTTTTTACATTAAAAAAAAGTCAGCGTTCATTTTTGCATAAATAAAAATAAATTCTTCATTTAAATAATTTTTCAAATTGCAGTAATGAGAATGAGATTTATTTGCATTTTATTGATCCAGCAATAACAATTGTGATGGGGTGGAATGTGTTTAATATGATTTCGATAATATTACTGACAGATTGAAAAGATTTCAAATTTATTAAAATGCTTAAAATGTAATTTAAGAAACAATAAAAAAAATGATATGCCTTACAATATATGAAGTGGTACAAAGGTGTTTGAAATTACTGAGGGGTTATTTTAATGCCATTTGACATTCTTTACAGTCAGTACTCTTCCCATCAAAGATTAAAAAAAAAAAACTCCTGATGAGCAATAATGTGAACACTAGACCCCCATGTTCACATAAATTGATGACTAGTAGAAAGCTGAAATGCAAATGAACTTTAGCAGGTGCTGATGGAGTCCGTATGAATGTGTGTGATGGTCAGGAACACTCGCTAAGAGCTTGCTGGAAAATACCAAAGTCAAGCACAGAGTGCAAAGTGTGACATTAGAGACAGACCTAATCATGACATGTGGCAAACCACTCATAGGTTAATGAACACACCGCTTAACTGCCACAAGTTAAATGACAGGCTTTTCCCCTGATAACACAAAAGAGTATGGGCTAAAAGATGCTCACTTGATCAAGTTAAAAACACACTTCCTCAGCATTTCTACAGATAGGCAAACATCTTCGGACTAAAATGTCAGCGTTCATTTAAAGTCACCCTAAAGTCTACACTCTTAAAAATAAAGGTTCTTTATTGGCATTGATGGTTCCGTGAAGAACCTTTATTAGAATTATTAGAATATTCTCCACACTGTGAAAAGGTTCTTTGAGGAACCAAACTCGGTTCTGGAGGTCCTGCAGAGTTTAGCTCCAGCTTACTTGCCTAGCAAGACCTTGATTAGATGGTTCAGGAGTGTTTACATTATTTTGGAGCTGAACTCTGTAGGACAGTGGCCCTACAGGAGCACGATTGGACACCCTTGATCTATTGCATTGCTACATTCTTAGAAAAAAAGGTTCAAAAGGGGATCTTGACTCAATTTTAGGCCCTGTTTACACTTTTTCCATTTTAAAACGACGTTTTAAAATGCAAACGATCCTCTTCCATACTGGTGTTTCCACAGCATTTCAGAAAAGATCTCCATCCACACTATACGGCCAAAAACGCATGTCACATGAGCATTCATGCACACTGAACATGCGGGTAGAAGTGTAAGCAGTTGCCGATTGCTCTAATAATAGCTAGCCTCTAGAGTCTTGCGCATGTAGGCAGCTGCAGGATTATTAAATGCAGAGTTTAACTGCACAATAGCTGATAAAAAGGACAACAAAATCAGCATGGTCATCGAGGCTGGTCTGTTATTGTCGTGTTACGATAGCGTAATGGTCATGTGATAGGGGCTTGACGAATCAGGGAAGGATACGCAATGATCCAGAAGACCCAATCAGGGAGCGAATGTGGGCAGCCATGCTTTCGTTTTCATTAGTCTCCGCTTTGGTCCGTCTACACTGAAACACAACCCCGGAGTTTCCAAACTAAAACAGGGTCTGCAGCGTTTTCCAAAAGTCGAAAACTCTGGAGTAGTGTGGACGCCAGGCATAACCGTAGCAAAAGTTATGAGTTTTAAAACGGAAATGCACTAGCGCAAACAGGGCCTTAAAGAACTCTTTATCCCAAAAAGGTTCTATATAACACTATAAAGTTGTTGTTTTTTGCAGTGATGCCAAAGAAGAACCATTTTGGATTCCCCAAAGAATCTTTCAGTGAACAGTTCTTAAAATAAAAAATTGTTCCCCAAGTGTGTCAACATTTTATTTATCTGAAGAACCATAAAGACACTTTGGAATGTGGAACTTGTGGAATGGAAAGGTTGCATGGCTGTTAAAGGTTCTTCATGGAACCATAATTTCCAATAAAGAAATGTCTTCAATGATTGCATAATACTTGCATACAGTATTTAATGGGTTATTTCAGTTATTTTTCTAGTGATAACGTATTTTTACACGCTGTCTAATTCATAAAGTTTAATTACAATGATAAATTACTTAAAACAAAATGAATAAATTAATTAAAACTAATTCCACAAAATGATCCCATGATTGGGAGCCCCTAAAAGGTTCTCTATATAAGGCGCCTGAAATAACTCTTTAAGGTTCTATATAGAACCTTTTCTTCAAAGAGTGCACAAAACCCCTTTTAGAACCTTTATTTTTAAGAGTTTAAGAATCAACATGGACTATTCAAAAAGACTGCTTATTTTTACATTGTGAAACATCCATACAGTAGTTATTCCTTAAATGGTTGCATTCAACTGAATATGATAGCTTGTGTAACAATGGTTTTGCGAACGAATTACACAGACATCCGTTCTGCACGTTTCATAAATTAGATATGCACGGAAGCATGTGCGCCACATCGCCAACCCAAACAATCACAAAAATGCTTATCTAACAGCGGATAATTGTGTTCAAAAAGATCTAATCGACCTGCATCTTAATGAAAGGGACTTTAGTCAAACTGGGCTGATTCTTGGACTACACACAAATCCCCACTGGCCTGAGATCTTCAAAATATACCATCAACTCAAGTCAGGGGCAGGTCTGTATGGTCTAAACCAGGGGTGCCCAATCCTGCTCATGCCGATCGACTGTCCTGCACAGTTCATCTCCAACCCTAATCAAACACACCTGCCTTTAATTTTCAAGTGATCCTGAAGAGCTTGACTAGCTGGTTCAGGTGTGTTTGATTAGGGTTGGAGATGAACTGTGCAGGACAGTCGATCGGCAGGAGCAGGATTGGGCACCCCTGGTCTAAACCATAGGTCTTTAACCCTGCTCTTAGAGGCCCACTGTCCTGCAGAGTTTTACTCCAACCCTAATCAAACACACCTGAACCAGCTAGTTAAGCTCTTCAGGATCGCTTGCGAATCACAGACTGAAGCAGGTTTGATATAAACTCTGCAGGGCAGTGGGCCTCCAGGAGTAGGGTTGAGGGTTGAAGACCTCCAGGAGTAGGGTTGGAGACCTCTGGTCTAAACCAAGCACATGTTGCAGTGAAGAGTGAAATCTCCTCTCACCTGACAGGAATTGCTGCGTGTCCATCAGCTTGCAGGTCTGCTCTTTCTCCAGCTTGTTTGGCTTGTCTGCATACGGTGCCAGTGGACCTTCCCAATACACCCTGCCTTGGCACAGGCGCTTGGCGTACAGCCCGTCCGGCGCCAGCCACAGCAGAACGCCACGCTCCAAGATGTTGGGCAGCTTCTCGGCCCCGCGCCGCTGGGACTGAGGGTATGGGAAGGGAAAGAGCACAGGCTCTGCCCCACCATAGAGCCTTTCCTCTGGGCAAGGAGAAGAAGGGGACGAAGGGGATCCCGGGGACGAGGAGGACGAGATTCGACAACCTTCAGGGCTGCTGGTGGTCACTTCCTTAACAAGTGACTCGCGATAGTACAGCGAGACGTGCAGGCGACAGTCTACGGAGGACAGAACATCGAAAGGTTTGGAGTTTAGTCATGGTGACTGGTTTAACATTTTCTAGGCAAAACTCGCTGCAATGCACAATTTAGGTGTTTTATGTGGTTTCTAGGTGGTTGCTTATTGGCTCAATACACAATACCACCAACCTCAATACACAATCTAAATCGCATATAATCCTATAAAAACATCATATAATGCTCGTGTTTGTTTACCTGAAATGGCCATGGCTTCAGCGGATCTCATACTGGGGTCCATTGCCACTGGATGGGTTTCTGCCGGTGAGTAGGTGTAGAAGGAGCCAGATATCTGGTATCCTGGAAAGTATACCAGCATTAAAATAGCTGAATTTACAACAGCTGACACTAATGTTTTCAAAAGCGCCATCAAAAATAAAGAAGTGCCTAGGAAGTTAATTATATAAAATAATATCCCAGCTAACAAATATATGTTCTAAGAAATTTGTTTCTAGAGTTCCCATTAAGTTATGAAAACGTTATTTCTGAAAAGTCTCTGAATGCCCAGGTTTTTTTTATTTATGTTTTGGTTATGCAAACGTTAAGCATTCTATTTCATCATTTCGCAAATATTTTGAATGTTCTCTGAACGTTCTGAAACATTTTTAAAAAACGTAGACGACCGCCCAACTAAAATGTTTAGGAAAAAAACATTCCATGAACGATGTATAAATAACGTTTTTTTTTTTTGTGCTTACATTTTGAGAACATTATTAAAGACCAGATAACTCTAACCAAACATTCTATTAACTTTACTAGAAGAATGTTTGTTCATAACTTTGATAGAATATTTGCTAAAATTGTAAGAACATTCCCTGTTATCTGGGATGTTTAGCTTTCCACTTTCTCTCATTGTAAGCCTTCAACAATCAGAGTCGGGATGGAGAGCAGACCCAGACCACGACTGGACTAGACCAATGCCTAAACCAGAAACCCAGATCAAGACTCGTCAGTCCAAGGACAAGGCTACCTTCATTTTACAATTTAGAGCCTTTTTTTTATGAAGGTTAAGTAGCATTTCAGGATCATGCAGTTCTTGTAAATTCTGTAATGGTGATTACAATTATCACCTTTAGTACAATTATCCCTGAAACAAATAATGATAAAGCCAGATCTGGACAAAGATTTGACCAAGGCACTGTTTGCATCATCTTGAGAGTCCCAATACAAAATGAGTTGCAGACGGTCAGAAGTCCGTCTGTGATGCAAATTTATTGGTACACCTTGAGTTCGCCGTTTTGCAGAGTGAGAAGAGACACTAATAAATAACCTTTAATACAGACACAGTGTATCATAAATATGGATTTCCTCTTTCTTTTTAAAGTTGCTCCCCTTCGATAAACGCTGTTCTCAATCATTACAGGAACAAGCGAACAAGAGAGCGCTTCTAGCACCAATAATAACAGCTAGCTTCTCTGAAAAAAAGATAACCCTTTGAATCAAAGTCTATGGAAGTATATGCTCTAAACGTTTGCTAGGGCGTGACTTGATAGCTTCATGAAGATCCTGGGAAGCTGATTGGTTGTCTGAGTAAAATGATTGGTTGTCTGAAGAGAATGTGAGAGGTGCTTGCTGTGCGAAAATACAATGCCTCGAGTCAAAATATGCTAGCATGATTCTAACACAATTAGAACAATTAAACACAATTTTAAGGGATAGTTCACCCAAAAATGAAAATTCGGTCATTAATTACTCACCCTCATGTCGTTCCAAACCTGTAAAACTTTCGTTCATCTTCAGAACACAAATGAAGACATTTTTGATGAAATCGGAGAGATTTCTGACCCTCCATTGACAGTCTACGCAACTACCACTTTGTCGCTTCAAAAAGTTCATAAAGAGATCGTAAACTAATCCATATGAATTGAGTGAATTTTCTGAAGAGACAATCACTTTATATGATGAACAGATTTAATTTAGGCTTTTATTCACATATAAACATTGATCAGAGAACTTAAACAGAAACTCAACTGACGCGCAAAAACGAAACCTCATTGGTTCTTGCGGAAGCTCAAACGTTCTGCGTAACACAAGAATGAACCTCACTGGTTCTCACACGTCAAGCAAACATGCTTGAGCTTCAGTTTTCCACAACTGATGTGTAAGTTGATGAAAATTTTCGGAGAATTTTGGACTAAACCACTTAACTCATATGGATTACTTTCACAATATCTTTATTAACTTTTTGAAGCATCAAAGTGGTAGTTGCGTAGACTGTCAATGGAGGGTCAGAAATCTCTCAGATTTCATCAAAAATGTCTTCATTTGTGTTCCGAAGATGAACGAAAGTCTTGCGGGTTTGGAACGACATGAGGGTGAGCGAATGACAGAATTGACATTTTTGGTGAACTATCCCTTTGATGTTGTCAACTCATTTTGTAGTATTGTAGAAGCTGGAAGCCGATACCGTTGTCACAGGGCGATGCGTGCCAGGGTAAGGAGCGAGTCGGGGGATACGGACACTGGCCGTACGGTAACTCCGCGTGAGGCGTCTGGGCATGAGGCTGGTCTGCACTATATTCCCTCCAATCACGCCTCTCCTGGGGGAGCATATATCCTGGGATCTGCAGGAGATAATGGGGAGGTTTTTGAGTCTTTATCACTAGACTACCCTGAGGAAAACAACATGGTCACCAGCATAGGTTTCATTTTGGATACCGATACCCAGCATGCAAGAATGGCTATTAGATTTCTTAAGTAGATTAACCAATGAGATTTACTTTCCCAAAAGCATCGTAAGCCTAAATATATCATAATCATTGCCACCAATGGCGTCTCTATGATCAACTTACAGTATAGCTTCAATTCTGCTTTTGAGAAACGCAGCCGTGAACCAGCTGGTCTTTTCAGCAGGGGTTGATTGTGCACTTTCACTTCAGGGTTATTATGGTAAACCAAAACTAGAGCAAAAACTAAAGCCATTTAAAAAACTTGGTGCACTAATTTAACTAAAACTACTGATGTAAACATTAACACTATAGAGATATTTAAAAACATAATAATAATAAACATAACAAAATGACTATAATTGAAACTCAAACAGATAAAAAAGAGCTATTTATAAATATTAACATAACTATAATAGTATCTCAATGATACTAAAATAACTCTCACTTGGAAAGCGTCTGCTAGGAAAAAAGTAAATGTAAATGTAGTTGATGAAGATGCAATGCTAATAGGACACTGAATACAATAGGAAATATCTCTTCACATGGGACGTCTGCCATGGATATTAATAATTTGAGAAAAGTGTGACATCATGGCATCTTACCTGAGGCTGTAGAGGTGGATAAGGAGAATGCATGGGATAACTAATAGGAGTCACGTGTGCCGTGTTGTCCTCCATACTACTGGCCTTAGAGCCTAAAATGCAAAAATAACAGCTCTTCATACCCTTCGCAGAGAATAAGTGCACAACAATGTTTATCAATCTCAAGCTGCAAAACCTGCACGTTTTATTTTATTTTTTTATCTCTCATTGTGATCTTGAATCAGAATAACTTCCCCTCCCTCTTCTCTTCTCTGATGATGAGGGCGGGGCAACCTGTCAATCACATGAGATCAGCCAATAGCAAACCACCACCATCCAATCAGTTCCCCACGGACAAAACCAAGCCCCGCCCCACATTTGTTCTTGTTTAAGAAGCCGTTCACAACTTCTATTTCATGTTGAGTTTTATTTTGGTTTGCTCACAAAGAAAGCAAGCATAGGTTTCGGAAAGCCGATCTCATGGAAAACAATTTTACAAGTTAGTGATTTTGAATCAATTCGCCAAGATGTAAAATAGTCATGTGTTGATCCCTCCTTCCTGTGTTGATGTACTTCTCGTTTAAACAGAAGCTTTTTTTAATGTGTGTGTATCTACTAAAGCATTTACTCAAAGATGCACGTTCTCTTCCAGTTCAAATCTTGCCTCTACTTCACAGGTAGTTCACAAGCTCTAAGAATAGCAACTAGGTGTGAATCTATTTTTTAAGTCACCATTTATGAAATTCTTGTTCTTGCACAAAATACTCTGATATTTTAGGGTCCAACCAGATGTCTTCATGGTCTTGACCCAACCTCCCAAAAGCACAAGCTCGAGTTATGCAAGGTCTGAGGGGTGATTTTGTTGCTTAGCGCTGTGCACTTGGTAACCGAAGCTCTCTATAAAAAGCTTGAGGGATTTTAGCACATGTAGCGGCTTCCTCTTAGCTTCCTGCTACACATACTGAAGGCAAGTAGCAATATTTAATGTGAATGCAGAGCAAATTAGCTCTGCTCAAAATTGTGCTCGCTTTTCAGAAAGAGCCGGTGAGTTTCAATGCATCAAACCAAGACCAAAAACTGCACCCTTTAAATAGGTGACTTCCTATTACCAAAAAGTGCATTAGAAGGCAACCAATAAATTGGTAATAAAAGACCTTCTATTCTCGAAACAAGAGAAAACCAAGCATCCAATGGAAATTACCTCTCTTTGCTCCTTCTGGTATTATCCTGTAGACCTTGTAAGGATCGGATATGTCTAACTGGCTTCGCTCCACCAGTTCATCGAAGTCATTACTTTTGTTCAGGGCACAGCGGAGTCTCGTCTTCCATGTTGGAGGGTCTGGTTTGTCCAAGCCTTCCCTGTATTTGCCTTTGAACAGAGCCCAAGCCTACAACAACCATGAAGAGAAGATGAGATGAGAAGAAGCCATGAAGAAGGAGAACTTTAATGCTCACATCTACCAATTATGAACAGATAGGAACCCTGTATATATAAAAGACGATGGATGTCAGAATGGATAGTCATTCGGATTCCTATTAATGATAATAATATAATAAGGAAATTAATAAAATGCTGTATACTTAGTATATTTGATTGATTGAACTGTCAATGCGGTTGTTTCTAAAAACGCAGTGCCAATCCAGCCATTCAATGGGCTTTTTCAGCTCAGTGCAAAACTAAAGCATCTTCTCTGACTGACATAAATCATCCTACAGAATATGAGGTTACACTTTATTTTAAGCTGACATGGTTACATTGTACTTACATAAGTATAATATTATAATATTAATTAACTACATATGCTATATGTTACTTGTAATTATGCATATATAGCAAATACATGTATTACTGTGTAACTACGTTGAATATGATTTAAAAAAAGTAAAAAAAACAGCCTAAAATAAAACGTATTACACACACTGTCAAAAATGTGCCTTAATGTATTTACTATTATAATATTGCCTATACATTATACAGTTGCCCCAGAACGTATGAGGACACTGAAGCCACTTAGAGGTGCATTGATGCATCGCATCAGATAACAAAATATCAAACCACGTGGCTAAAAACAAATGCGTTTTTCTCAGAACAATCTGCACTTTTCTTCATAATATTTTGCTTGTTGACCTTGGATCAGTTGGTGTTTTTAATGGACGTATGAAGTCATGTTCACACAAGTGTCCCATAACTATAGCATTATCTAATGTTTGCAACCACTTCTCTCTTCATTTTCAACACTAGATCTATTGTTGCGTATCATTTAAAAGCTAACCGACTTCTGTCGGTCTTTGTCTTGCTTGAAAAAAGTGAGTGTAAAGAACTTGGTTTGATAACTACGCAGATTTGAATACGGTCTAAAATTGAATAAAGCTGTAAAAAAAAAGAAGTTGCTACCTTCAATTTTTACGTACATTCAACTTTAATGTTTAAGTCGTTACAACTTAAATTTGGGTCAAATGAGTTAAGTCATTTTCAACTTAAGTTATACAAGATTCAACTTATTTTGATGAGTTAAAGCAATGCAAAAACATAAGTTGTCATAACTTATTGATAATATCTTTTACAGTGACATCCTCAATCACCTTGAAGAGCGCCGCGTCCTCGTCGCGATTGTAGTCCTGCTTCCCCGCGTGTTTCCAGGGAATCCTGAAAATGCTTTTCTCGTCATTTTCCCAAACCAAGCCGGGATACTCCCCGCTGTCAATCTGATCGATGAGCCACTGTCTAAGTTTGCCATTCCCACAACTGACTGACATGCTGCAGTCCCCATCTAAGTTCATGTCTGTCCGGGAGCAGGTGCACATGCAGTGAGCAGAAGAGTGTTTCAGATGAGTTCATGCATGCATATTCCTTAATAACAAACTAAATAATAACTACTCTACAGCAGGCGTTCAGGTGAAACCAACAGACACTGGTGTAGGCTATAAAAAAAAGCATCTAGAAGTACAGAAAGAATGAAGCTTAAACTTTGAAAGTTTACATGCAAGTCAATAAACTACACACATGCACATATAAAAGAATAAGTATGAAGCATAAGCATCATAAATTCACAGGCTACATTTTTATCATTTTATTTTTAAAACCAAGTCGCATTCAGCTCATTTAGGCTGACCAAGGCTCAACAAGTCTTACCTTAGTGAATGCAGACAGCTTGACTTCACTTTCACAGCCGACACTTCTCAAGTCATGACAGAGGAAGGTGTTTCTATTCTTAAATAATGTAAAGTGCACTAGGTGGAGAGATGGGTGGAGCGTTACGTGGAAGCGTGTTTCTCCCTCCAGCAACATTAAGAGTTGAAGACTTCAGAGAAACACGACACAACCGCAAGAATAAACATCCAACATACGGGAAATCCCTCGTCCGAGACACACACATATACACACACACACGATGGAACAAAAATAATGTCGATAAAATATGCCAGAAAATCTCCCAGCACTCGTCATCAGAATTATCCTGGTGTTTGATGTTTGTTTATGTAGGTTTCTTTGAGGAAATTCACAGCCGTCGCAGTCACGGAACAAGACCTGTTATCTGTCCCGTCAACAGAGACTCATGGCAAAGTAATTGTGACTTTTCAAAACACTTACAGAAAGACAGAGTCGTACACTGCTCGGGGGTGAGTTTAAACCCTAAAATAATAGAAGCATACGATATCATACGATATATGACATATCAAATTCATCAAGCGTTTCATATCAAGTCATTTCAAATATCAACGTGTTGGGAGTGTTGAATATGCCGCCACCTGCTGTCTTCCCGCGAAACAACAGCGTTGAGAACAAGGTACTCCGTAGCATATTTAGATATAATATTAGCAGGTTCTGGATGATTATGCATCAGCCAATGTGTTATTATAGAAAATAAACAGGAACATTTGCCAATTTAGTTTTTATAGCACAACATTTAAAATATTAAAAGATGGGTAAGATGCATATGAATGAATGTATAAATGGCTTTTTATATAATTATTTTTAATATTTATATACACACACACAATTGACACTTTAGTATATATGTCAATGTAAAATACTAAATCAACTGCTCTATTTAAAATGCTATTTTGACCATTTAGTTGATACTAATTGAATAACAGACAACACAGAATACCAGTAAAAGAGATTCATTTGTAAGGTAAAATTCATATAGGCTACAGGCATATGAATATTTACATATTTAATTGCCCATATTTTAATTGAAGATATGTCATAGTAGAAACACTGAAATCAAATTGAATGATTTCACTCAACCTGTAGGTTTTAATGAAAGCAATGTTTGAAATTTACAAATAATTGATGGTAATATTAAATAATAACCCCATTAACTAACTCTGAATTTGGCTTGAGAAGCCTTGTTTTAAATAACTTTCATAGGCTCAAATTTTGAATTGAATTGTTGAAATTGAGGTTTGGGACAGCATGGTTTCTAGCATGAATTACCCAAGCGGCAACCTTCACGGTTCATGTCTCTCTCTTGAATCCAACACAGAAGTGACTTAAACTGCAGTTCATCGACTGGCCGCTAGAGACAGGCTCCAAAAGAGAGTCAATCCCATAGACCCCCATGGTCAAAATTTTACTGCTTTAAAAAATATTTTTACAGCCTGGTGCAAAAAGTGTTTTTGGTCTATATAGCTAATTTTGCCCTACATGACAACTGTGAGGGGGGTTACTTTTTTTATAACTCATCCGCCTTAAAGTTCTGCTCAATTAAGGGCGTGGCCACTTGAGTGACAGGTGTATTGCCGCTGATGTCACTACTAGCCGTTTGTCTGCTGTTTGTTAGCGTCACGTCACCTCAGCTAATCCGCCTCGATGCTCCTTTTCATTTATCCGGGAGTGACGCGCTGCCAAGATAGCGACAAGATAGCGGCTTCAAAAATGCTCTTCAGAAACCAACGGGTGATGTCACAGACACTATGTCCATTTTTTTTCTAGTCTATAGAATTACCACATTGTTAGCATGTTTTAGCACAATGCTAACATGTTTTATCATGTTGCTAATATGATTTAACAGGATGTTAACATTAATTAGTATTTTGCTAACATGTTTTAACATGTTATCATGAATTAGCATGATGCTATCATATTTTAACACATTGCTAACATGAATTAACATGTTGCTAACATTATTTAACATAGCTGATTCTCAATATGCGTTCTTCAGCGGTCTTGCGTCCTTGTACTTCGTCATCATCGAAGTTCTATTCCAATAATCAAGAACGCAGGGACACATGAAATTGCCAGGATGTTTTGGTATCGAGGATGCATCGAATGCAGACTTGAGAGAATCGGACCGTTAAAAATCCCAGAAGACACTGCGGGCGGCCGACGTACGGAAGCCTGTAAGCTTCAAACTTCTCGTTTCTCACCATAGACTGTGGTTCTCACTTAAGAGATTTCCTTAAGAAAGCGGTAGCATTTTTATTAGAATATTAAAAGGAATCTTAACATTGATAAAGCATGGCAACTCATTTTCATAAATACACACGGTAAAATAAAAATACATTTGTTTGAAAACAATGTGTATAATAATATTATATGTTTAATAGGTTGTGACATTTGTTTGTGATGTTAATTGTGTTGTATTTATTGTGCTTTGGTCATTAATCGCGATTTGCTGAGATTACAGTTAATCTGCAAGATCGCAGCACATCTCAATCTCACAAAGATACGTTCTGTGTCCTCGCGTCCTTCCGAGTTCGTTCTTTCAAGTCGTCTGGCAAGACCGGTCTCAACGGGAACGCAAGTCCGTTCCTTGCGTTCTTGGAATTGAGAAACAGCCGTTGTTAACATTAATTTGCATGTTTCTAACATTATTTTACAAACTTTTAGCATGAATTAACATGTCGCTAGCATGATTAAACATGAATTACCATCCTGCTAACATGAATTAGCATGTTGCTAACATGAATTAACATGTCGCTAGTAATTAACATGTTGTTAACATGAATTACCATCCTGCTAACATGAATTAGCATGTTGCTAACATGAATCAGCATGTTGCTAAAATGAATTAACATGTTGCTAACATGAAGTACCATCCTGCTAACATGAATTACCATCCTGCTAACATGAATTAGCATGTTGCTAACATGAATTAACATGTTGCTAACATGAATTAACATGTTGCTAACATGAATTAACATGTTGCTAACATGAATTAACATGTCGCAACATGCTTTAACATGTCGCTAACATGATTTAACATGTTGTTAGCATGAATTAACATGTCACTAGCATCATTTAGGATTAGCATGGTGGCTAGCATGATTTAAAATGTTTTGTTAACATGTTTTAACACATTGCTAACATCAATTACCATTTTGCAACATGATTAAACATGCTATTAACATGAATTAGCATGATTTAACAAGTTTGCTAACATGTCCTAAGCTAGTTGGTAGGCTTTGTTAATGATAGATACATAGTGGACGAAGCTTAAATGCTCTATTAGAGCAGAGGTGGAAAGAGTAATAAAATATTCTACTCTAGTAAAATTTCATTGCAGTAGTAGTACTTTTACTTAAGTACAAGTAAAATTACCGGTCTAAAAATCTACTCAAGTAAAAAGTAGTTCATTGAAGTAAAAGTTATTGAGTCACTTTTTTAACAGCGGGGGTGGGCGACTCTCCCGTGTAGGGTTGTAATGGTATGAGATTTTCACAGTCTATGGTCGCGTACTTGAGTATGTAGTAGACAAAGCGGCGCAGCTCATTCACACCAGTTCACACAGAAACGCAGAACAAGCAGGTTATATATCTACATTTTTGCGCTTAAACATTCACAGACCATGTCGCGATTGGATTTATTGCACAGTTCTACTTTCCATGCATTTATCCACCCATCATTTTGCGTGTTTTCGTGACATCTCACTGCGGGCGGTCGACCCAGTGGTCCTAGTGGTTTTGGGATATTTTACTGCAAAAATCCTACATATTATATATTCTTCAAGTCAATTAAAATAATTATTACATTTAAAAATAACACTATTAACGTGGCCTTCTGTGGCACACGTTAATAGTGTGCCACAGTAACTTTTACTCCACAAATCCCTAATTAACAAACAGACACACAAACCTTTGGCATTCAACAGCATAGGTCACTATTTCCCAGAGATCAACTGTTTCAACTGACTAGATCTCACAAATGTAGATATTCAGATGAAATGACAAAATTAAAATATCGTTTAGCCTTTCATTAAAAGTGCTGAGATGAGATTGTGTCTCATATAAAAAATAAAAAAGGCTCATCTTACCCCATGTTACCCTACCACTACAAAAATACCCGTAACGTTGATATTAAACAACATGTGCAGTTATTATTATTTAATTACTATTTCTACTCTCTCCTTATATGACTTCAGCATTAAAACAGCGCCTCGGCAAGCTTTGGTAATCCAGCTTCTCACATTCCCAGCAAGTGTAGAGGAAAAACACAAACAGTCAGTAAGAGACCATAGTATAAATCAACATTTATAATATATCTGTGAACAATTATGTGCCTTTAACATCAGTAGTAATCATTAAAACCTTGCATATTTACACAAAGAGTCCTTAAGTAAAACAGTGCTGTGCCATAATAACCACCATGAGCTGTGGCAGTGAGATGAGTGTGGAGGAGTGAGGTCAGGCGTCCTGGAGCGGGTCCTCCTCGGGACTCTGGGCCAGGAGAGTGCGGATCTCCTCCTCGTCGTTCAGGGGGCTTTCCTTGTACTCCTCCTTCAGCCACTCTCGGAACTGAACACACACGTCAACAACTATCATCCAGCACAGAAAGTGGAGTGACTCTGATTAATGCAACCACATCCCAGCTGTGTTCATATTTATAGAAATCGCCGTTTGGATCATGTGTTTACATGAAACCAACATATTAACCCTATAAAGCTACTGTATTTGATATGCAAATTTCAGTTACACTTTATTTTAAGGTGTCTTTGTTAGTGTAATTATGTTTTAAGTACTGAGTAATAATTAACTACATGTACTTACAGGGTTAGGATTAGGTTGAGAGTTAGTTGCGTGTAATTTTGCATAATTTATAGTTAAAACTATAGTTACTACATGTAAAGTATGTAACAATGACACTGTAAAATAAAGTGTTCCCAGATTTATATGGCCTCTAAATGATCAACACGATGAAATCTTTGCTGAAAAACCCTGTTGCTAACATGTTTTAGCATGAAATAGCAGGATTTTAACATGTTGTTAGCATTAATTAGCATTTTGCTAACATGAATTAGCATGTCATTAACGTTTAACATGTTGTTAACATTAATTAGCACGTTGCTAGCATTATTTAATATGTTAATAACATGAATTAGCATGTCGCTAGCATGATTTAACATGTTAACATGAGTTAACATGTTGCTAACATGATTTGCCATGTCACTAGCATTATTTAGAATATGAATGTTGGCTAGCATGATAATGTAACAGTAACAAAGTAAAACTTTGCTGAAAACCCCTAATGCACATGCTCTACTACAGTCCTTCTGAGTTTAGATTTTTTTTAGCATGTAAAAGGTATAATTTCAGTATAATTGTACAAACATTCAGCTTCAGCTTGTGCTTCACGTGTCTTTTTGCAGTGAAATCTTCAGTTTTTATAAAGTAAACGTAAGAATCACTTATAATTTCAGTAATATTTCAGGATGTCCAGACACTTACTGGACTGAAGCAACTTAGCTTTACTTGATTATCCATACATTATTTTTTTTATTTTTTTAAATCATGTTCAAATGTGAGTCTCAAATATGATCCATCATATATTTGTTCATCTCTCAATCATCATTGCGTTATAACTTTTAAAACTACAGAGCTTTGATCATAAAACTAAGCATTTAAAATATCATCTTACTATTTATTATAGGCAGATATAGAGTGACGACTGATATTTATATGATTTTATGCAAGTAGTCGCTATACTCTTCTAAAGATCCCATTGATTTACATGACAAACTATCAGACTTTTTTTCCATATAAATATCAGCATTTTCACCAAATTGCATATTTTTGCTCAGTTTGGGCAACTGAGCTTCCCAAGTATGAGTTTCATATTCTCACTATATTCTATTTGAGCCATAAAAGCCTGATGTATCAAATATATATGCCAATTTTAGATTTTTCTGACTGTTATTTAATTTTTTGGCTTTACAGGTGTAGCATCTGGACCAATCAGACACACATAAATTATTCATTATATTTAATGAATAATCCAGCAAACTCACTCTCCCAACAAAGGTCTATGAAAATTCCCCCAAAACTAACATCCCAAATAAAGCCAACACTGGCAGAACCCGGAGTCCTGTTACAGGACACACTGAGGCTGATGAGTTTTACGACCCCAAGAGGAATTTGCAGAGTTGTGACTCTCACTTAATTCTTGCTGAGGAGGAGAAATAAACCCCTTTAATCCTATATATTCTATATATAACCACTTGAGAAATGTATAAACATGTATCTAATTTTCCCATCTCATGATGTTCCTTTTGTGTGGTTTAGCCTATGTATTCATTGATTATTAATATTTATTTAGAGCTAATTTGCTACATCGGGTTAATCACGCTTGAACTAGTAAACCCTTGGTGACTGTAAACCCCCGGTAAAGGGAATCCTGGGTTATCTTGCTTCATGTTTCACACTGATCATCCTGGGTATTCATAAGATAACGTTTCAAAATGTATATTCACTCACCCCCACGTTTGGTAATTTACTCTCCCCCACGTCATCCAAGATACTCGTGTCTTTCTTCAGTCGAAAAGAAATGAAGGTTTTTCAAGAGTCTTAAGAAAATAATAAACATTAATATACTTTGTATACTAAGTCGTGGACGTGCAAGACGACCATTTGTGGTTAAAAACTAAAAGTATGTTTATTTTCCAAAAAAAATGGCTGCTGGTTTGAGATAAGACTCTTATTTCTCGGCTGGGATCGTGTCGAGACTTTGAAGCTGCACTGAAACTCACATTTGGACCTTCGACCCGTTGGACCCCATTGAAGTCACTATATGGAGAAAAACCCTGGAGTGTTTTCCTCAAAAACCTTCATTTCTTTTCGACTGAAGAAAGAAAGACACGAACATCTTGGATGACGTGGGGGAGAGTACACTATCAGGATTTTTTAATTCTGAAGTGAACTAATCCTTTAATACCCTTACTGGACGAATACCGCATGTTTAAATAAAGGCTCTCGCATCGCAATCCTCATATTATACATTGCCGACTCACTGTAGTGTTAAAGGGTTAGTTCACCCAAAAATGAAAATTCTGTCAGTAATTACTCGCCCTCATGTTGTTCCAACCCCGTAAGACTTTCGTTCATCTTCGGAACACGAATTAAGATATTTTTGATTAAATCTGAGAGCTGGATCACTCCTCCATAGGCTTCTTAAGGGATCGAAACTGGCCGGCCCAAAAGTTATGAAAGACATTGTTAAAATAGTCCGAGTGACTACAGTGGCTCAACCATAAGTTTATCAAGCGACGAGAATACTTTTTGTGCGCAAAAAACAAACAAAAATAACGACTTTATTCAACGAATCATTTCCTTCTCTGTGGGCCGTGATATTTCACGTAGTGATATTTCGCAAAGCTTCTAGGTTGCACGTCACACGCAGGCTCACTATTGGCAGACGCTGGTCATGTGTGTGATGCGTGACGTACAACCTAGAAGCTTTGCGCAATATCACTACGTGAAATATCACGGCCGTACAGAGAAGGAAGCCTATGGAGGAGTGATCCAGCTCTCAGATTTAATCAAAAATATCTTAATTTGTGTTCCGAAGATGAACGAAAGTCTTACGGGGTTGGGACAACATGAGGGCGAGTAATTACTGACAGAGTTTTCATTTTTGGGTGAACTAACCTTTAAGGTTACTTCACTTTTGTGTTTCAAATTTAACCTTTTAAGTTTATCCTGAATGGACTTTTCAGACTTTAAAAGGTAAGAATGAAACGGGTTCTTCTTCACTCCAGTTGTCGCTTCTTCTGTCACTAGTTTCAGTGTTTGAGGGGAAAAAATATCAAATACTGTTCATACAGCGCACCGTGTTACCGTGACTGTGCAAAGCATCTGAGTCGGCAGGTTTGCGTAACAAAACCAGCCCAACTGCTATTCAAAACCCGCCCAATCACAGCCAAAACTAACCCACTTTACACATGTAAAACGTTCCTTAACCTGGGGTCAGAAGCAGGGTGTAGAACGACGCTAACCTGGGGTTGCACATAAACATGGTCATTGACATGATTCCAGGTCAATGGTAAAGTGGTCAGGTTTGTAAAGATAACAACAAACCCATTTGATTAGGATCATCCACCTTCAAACATGAACTCATGAGGTTCAAAAGGGCGCTGTTGGCTTATCACATCTTCGTTTTGGTGCTGCTAACCACTGGCAATCTCATTTCACTCATCACATGTGGAGGAATCACCTGCTGTAGTTGAGTGCTCTCGAACTCCTTCAGCTGCGTCTGGAAGCCCTCATTAGGTGAAGCACAGGGTCTCGCCAGCTTCACCGCGGCCAGAGCGTCCTGCCAGCCCAGAGTAGTGACGGTCATGACGTACGCCACCACCAGCGTCACGCTGCGCGACACGCCAGCAAGACTGGGTCACAGGACATCAAAAATCAGCCACTCGCTAAAGCCATGTCCACACTGATACGCTTAAGTTCGAAAACGCATCTTTGTCTATCCGTTTTGGCCTTCCGTCATGTTTTTATTAATGAAAACGAAGCTTTTTGAAAACGCTCTCCAAAGTGGATAGATCTGGAAACGCCGGTTTCGTGTTGTAGTGTGGACTGTCAAAACGGAGGTATTTCAAAACGAGGATTTAAGTTTAGTCATGTGACGCATATTGTACCAATAGATATTCATGTTTATACCGGTATTGTGGCTGTTGTGTGCTATTTACGGTCACACATTTGCTAAATTATGTTACTTTGTACACTCTTCATATCACAGTCCTGCAAACATGAGAGCATTTACTCACATTTGCTGTCCTGTGGTAAAACACGAGAGCAGTTTTAGCGTTTTAGACCAAACAAATAAAGGTGAATTTAGCGTTTTTAAAAAAGTTTCTCATCCACACTGAAACGTCGGAAAACGCCTGAAAACGCTAGTGTGGACGGAAAGCGTATTTAAAGGAAAAAGGCCGTTTTCAAATGTATACGTACATTAGTTTCTTTTACTGATTTGATTCTAATATTTTCACAAAACGTTGACATTAAAATAACTACAGGACGATACGACAATGATTACTGCCGTTTGTTTAGGTTAGGGATTAGAACGAGCCCCAAACCCTAAGCATTCAACTTCGTTGACGTTGCAAGAGGTTCACATTTCAAAGTTCAAACCTACCTCATTATGTTTCCCAGAATAAAGCTCTCTACACATTATGCTGCATTTTATTCTCATGTCAAACAGAGAGGCTCTTGTTTACTGTTGTTTATGGGAAGTTCAAAAATAGCCCACCACCCTTGACACCTAGTTATCAGCTGTTCACATTATCACACTGGGCTCGATTAGGGCTGGTATCTTGGTTGTGTGCACATTTTGCTTCCTCTTAAGGTAGGCTCTTATATCTTGGTGCATGCAACCATAAGGGCCTACTAACATCAGTTCATTTACAGTGTAGTTAGAGGACATACAGTACAAACAGGGCTTGACATTCACTTTTTTGCTCAGTAGCCACTGTTACAAGTTACTAGCCACTCAGCATTTTCACTGGCCACAAATTTGGCATCGATACCATGGGGAAAAACTGTCATATAGATATTTTTAATATTATCTCATAATTTGGCTGCAGGATTATTAGGCTGCTGTCGCTTTAAGACCTGAAGCACGGATCAATTATACTGTTACACGTGCATTTTCTTTCTCAACTGTTTCCATTCTCTTAAAACATACTGTAACTGCCTATATTTACGTGAATACTCGCCAAGACCGACATTTTGTCATTATTTTGTGTGTATTTGACTGTTTAAGCGCAATAAGCAGCAAAAAGAACTCAATTTAGTACCGAATGGTGGATTTATGTTTGCGCACTTTAGGTTTGAGCCCAAAATCTGCGGAAAATGAGTATTGGAAGCATTTCAGATATTTCAGTATCGATATGTATCGTAAAAACGATATTTTTGACAACACTAAATTGCACTTAATTATTTCAGATGCCCTTTTAAAAGACTACAATTGAAAAATGTATATATTTATAAAATTCAACCCGCCAAAGTGTCTAGAAGAGGTGAAATGTCAATGTCAAGCCCTACATACAAACCCCTCACTTACCAGTGAACTAGACAGCCCTCCCCTTTCAGTCGGGACTCGTGCATGAACATAATGCTCTTCTTAAAATGCTGAATGCTGCGGAGGGGAAAGAGACCAATTTTTTCAACCACATATAGGTCTACACAGAAGTGACACAAATGTGAAGGATGCTGAAATGAAATATAACCTCTTAATGCAGTAATGTCATATTTGGACACTGTAGACACACATAATGTATGAATGTCAAATATTTGTTTGGACATTTTGTTATCTAATGCATTGACATTCAGGCAGGAAGTGTGGCTTAAAAAGAGTTCACCAAAGGATATTTTGAAGAAAAGTTTTTTTTTTTTTTAACAATGAAAGTCAATGGGGTCCAAAACAACTTTTGCTGTATGGGATGGGGGGGGGGGGGGGGGTTATAATAAACATAATAAACAATAAAAAATTTATTAAAAATAAATAATAAATAATAAAAAATTATAAAGCTTTGGAACAACATGAGGGTGAGTAAATTATATAAATTTTTGCGTTACATTTGGTCAGTTTTGGTTCATCTACATGTGGTAGAGGTCTGCGTTCAGACTATGACGCTGACAGCGCTGTTCCTCCAGTGGCGGGAAGGTCGTAAGAGTAAACAGAGAATTACGAGACATCCTGTATACATGATGTTTTCCAGATGCAGATTGCTCATAGCGGCCTTCACAGTTCCAGTCAAAGTTTAAGTAGGCTTGATACTGACACTCAAATGAGTGTGTATTGAAATGCTCAAAACATTTCAGAGACGAGTTCAAGCGGAGTCAGTATTGTAAAACACTGGCCTAAATATAAAATGTATTATTCAGAAATTATAAAATGGATAGTTCTGGTCCTTGATTGTTAATTACTCTACAAACATACACCAAATACATATTCAGTGGTATATAAAGTATTTGAGTAAATGTTATTAGTTACTGTACTTAAGTAACTTGTTGGCTACCTTGTAGTTTTACAGAGCATCAAAGATATTAGCTACTTTTACTCTCCACTTGACTACGAATGATCTTTGAATAAGTATATACTCTTTAATCCAGTGCATTTGTGATATTGCATTACTTTACTCGTTACATTTTGAATGGCACCTAACTTTTTCTGCAAGTTTATTGGAGGTCCTATATCTCGTGCGTTTGGCCTTTACTCACATTTACTCACCCAAACGTGTCAACAAGGCTACTTTACTTTGTTATAAGAGATGAGAGCATGACTCCATGAAACCAGCATGTCCAGTGCAAGCTGACTTCGACTACTTGATTTTACTTCACATTATACAAGCATTATGTTGAGGAGAACTTTTTGAAGGATATTGGCTTACTTGTGGCCTCTTTGAGCACTTGAGCTTAACAGAGCTTTATGTGATTATAGACGTTTAAGAGGCTGTTGTGTCGACCTTTATTTATTGCAATATTGAGTATTTCAGATTTATTTTAATTTTAGAAAATAAACATGATTGCTCTCCTCACAAATGAACCATTTCTTGTTTTTCACTGGCATGTCTCTTACATTCAGTACGAGTAAAAAACTTAAGTACTATTAAAATCAGATACTTTCACAGACAAGGCTCAAGTCTAGTCCCAGACTAAAATGCATGTTTGAGCTGTTTATACTGAAAGCAAATTGCACTTAATATATCATATTAAATATCTTAATATGCCACTGTTTTGTCTCAAGATCAGTAATGTGTTTTTTTTCCTAAGGCATGTTTATTTAAGATACTTAAATGCCCTAATTGAACTAATTCTGGCTTAATCACATTATCTGTGAAACCGGGCTTTCATTTTCATTTTTGGGTGAACTAACCCTTCAACTATTGTGCTCTACTTGTTCTTGGTCCCACGCTGTTTGACCAATGAAATTGCAATACTTAAAACACTGGTATTTCCATTTACATGTAGGGTACCAATCTTTTGATTTGATATATTTAAGTCATTATGCTTTTTAATGCACAAAATGAGCCAGATGAACAGAATGATGGACACGTTCTGCTCTCCACAAGCACTCGCAAAGATAATTTAGAGCAGAGCAAAACTAGAAAATCAGATTTAATACAGATTAACTTGTTTAATTATAAAATTCCCTGATATTTACAGGTTTTCCATGATCCGGGCAGGTTGGTCAAGTCTTCAAGACGTGCTACGACTGATAATTCTGTCTAATTCTGTCAAAAAATGATTCTGTGGTGAAGTAAAAACTACACCTGAATAAGTTAGATCAGGCAAGAATAAAAAAAAAAAAAAAAAAAGTAAATTCTATATTAATACAATTTTGGCTTGTAGATCAAGTAAGAAAGAATTGGCGACGAGCCTGTGAATTATTAGAAAATACTGCATACCCGAGGTGGTAATGTGCACACCTTAGAACATCTGTCAACCAATCAGAATCAAGCATTCAACGGCCCCGTAGTATAACGTCTAATTATCAACGTTATAACATTAAGCAAAAGCTACTCAACTTTCTGATACTGGTGTTCCCATCATGCACTTGGGCATGCATAATTATTAAGGTCGCATTTTCTCTGTTTTCCAGCTGTATTTCCAGTTTTATCATTTGTTAAGTTTTGTAACTTAAGTTAATTTTCTCCTCAAAATGACACATTCATACTCAAAAAGGATCCAACGAACGTTACTGTTATTGTCTATTGTGCACCAAGCATTGAGATCTGTGTGTTCGGGTGGGTACCACATAGCGTCTATTATGTAAATATGTTGTCTACACAATATCTACTGTATTATTTATTAAGATGATCTAAGTAAAGCATACACTTTTAACTAAGTACAAATTACTCAACAAACTTTAACTGGACAAGTAACACTTTACAATAAGGTTCATTAGTTAATATTAGTTAACTACCTTAGTTAACATGAACTAAGAATGAACAATACTTCTACAGCATTTATTAATGTTAATTTCAACGTTTACTAATACTCTATTCAAATTAAAGCTTGTATTTGTTAACCAGCAAACTGTTTGAATGCTGAATGGAGAATGAGAGATGAGTTTCCATTAACTTTAACTTAACGACTTAAATATTCATTTTTACCTCACATTATGCTATCGAAGGACTTTAGAAGGTTTGGAATATAGTGCACGAAAATTTAATAGTGCTTTACAATGTTTTTTTGTTGGTGTGGCGGCCCACCACGACAGAATGAATGTAGCTGAAACACTGTTTTGCATCGTCTTACTATTTGAATATCCTACTAGCAACAAAACACAGACATTATTTAGCTTGAAACTGTCCAGAGAGTGTCTGTCAAGAAATCCAGAAATCTGACTGTGGTTTCTCTAAAGCCTCAACAGCACGGTCAGGTACGGTAGCGTTTCCTCCAGAACATCCATCCTTTTGACAGGACCAGGATGAGAAAGGGCTGGGTTTGTCCAGTTTGGTTAAAGAGGGTCAGTTTCACATTACGCATGGCCGGGTTTCGCAGGCTCGTAAGGGTGACAAGAGGGCTGATGGTAAAGGGGGGATAAAAATAAAGGCGTAGTGAGACCAAGCCATCACTGCAGAACCCAGCTCATAACTTCCTTCCTGAACCAAGAGAGCCACAAGAGGAAGTGTGCGTATGTGCGGGTCTCTACGTGCTTGTGTGTGTGTGTGTGTTAATACATGTGCACTCAAGGGTGAAACTAGTTTGATATGGCATGTACAAACCAACATCACAGACTGAGTGTAATGAAGGGAACTGCATGTGTAAATGCAGAACTTCTTAAAACGCTTGCTTGTGAAAAGCATCGACATCTTCAGGTTGCCACAGTTACTCGCGCTGCCCACTGGCGGCCAGCTATTAGCAAACACGCCCGTCAGAAATGCACCAAGCCTACTTACAGGTTTTGCGTGGGCGAATCTGCTGCTGGGATGCAAAGATAAGTCATCTCCTAAAGAAACAGAGGAAAGAAGGAGATGTGCTCTAATATGTGATGGAGCAAAACCCAAGTATGAAAGACAGCGAACCTTTTGTTTGGTCAAATCCAGAGTTTTTTGTTGCACATGCCCACAATGTGTTCATTTCAGGACCAAACTCAAAACATAGCACTCTCAACGCTCATGCATATTTACTGGCCTCTGACTGAGAAGCACTTGTACAATGTAAAAAAATCTCAACTCATATTTTTGTTTCTTTTTTTGCACGGGCATTTTTAGTTTTACTTCATTTTGTCAATACATTGGAAAAACGCAACAAATTAAGTTTGGTTTACTCAAATCAAAAAAAGAAATGCTTTCGGCACAAGTAAATGGGTGCAGAAGGGCAGATTTTCCTGTAAGAGAAGCGCGTCGCTGAGTCAGTGTATCCGCAGAATTTAAGACTTTTTAAGATCTTCACAAATAAAATGAATACCGTTCAAGTCCCTACAGAACAAACTCAAAAAGTAAAAAATAAATCTTGTTCACTTCTCCTGATAGTGTACTCTCCCCCACGTCATCCAAGATGTTCATGTCTTTCTTTCTTCAGTCGAAAAGAAATGAAGGTTTTTGAGGAAAACACTCCAGGGTTTTTCTCCATATAGTGACTTCAGTGGGGTCCAACGGGCCAAAGGTCCAGATGTGAGTTTCAGTGCAGCTTCAAAGTCTCGACACGATCCCAGCCGAGAAATAAGAGTCTTATCTAGACTAACCATCCGCCATTTTATAAGAAAATAAACATTTATATACTTTTTAACCACAAATGTTCTTTCTTGCACGTCCATGACTTCACGCATTAGGTAATCATGTTGGAAAGAGTAGCGTGACGTAGGCGGGTAATGTAGAGAAGGGCGTATAAGCAAAGTATAAGCCCTTTTATTGTAAAGGGCGTTTGACTTAGTCTTTGTACGTTGGCTTTGTAAACACTGGGTCGGTACTTCCGCCTACGTCACACTTGACCTTTCAACCTGATTAATAATGTGTGGCGCATCACAGCAAGCGCAAGACCAGCATTTGTGGTTAAAAAGTAAATGTTTATTTTCTTATAAAATTCCTCAAAAACCTTCATTTCTTTTCGACTGAAGAAAGAAAGACATGAACATCTTGGATGACGTGGGGGAGAGTACATTATCAGGAGATTTTAATTCTGAAGTGAACTAATCCTTTAATTAAACTGGTTCAGCCGCTAAACAGGGTAAAATACTGAGTGTAGTGTCGTCATTCGGCTGACTTGACACTGATCTCGTATGTGTGCATCAAAAGCTTCTTTATATTTTGAAGGCATGAAGAAATGAGACGAACTACCTGTAAAATGGGAGCGGCGGTGTCATGGATGGAGAGGATGTGCGTGATGTTGTTTCTCGCTAATTGCTCCCTGTCTCTGGCATCTGTAAAAAATTAAATAAATAAAAATAAACACATTTATCATCTTTCCTAAACATGCACCTTATTAAAAATGGTGTTCCAGTGTTGTCCATTCTTACCTTTGAAGTTACCCAAGTACAGGTCTGACAGAACCTGGGACGACACAAGCAGTGTTTGTTCAGTCACTACCAGACCACAATAATACAAAACCACATCTTACAACACTCAAAAAAATAGATAACTAAAGTCACCATTCTAAGTTCACTCAGCTAATTTGTCACAGCAGGGAAGAAAACACGGTCACAATTTTAGACTCTTCTGATTCTGATTTTGCGAATAAATTTGACCCTGATTGCTTTCCTGATCTCCTGTTTTAGTGAATTCTTCATAGAAGCTGTGCATGATTTTGTCTCAAACAAAATGTGTCATAAATGACCAATCCAGCGATAACACACAAGGATGACATAATGTTGCTGTGCGTTGCTATGGTGCTTATGTGTGGTTGCTATCATATTGCTATGAGCGATTTTTTTTAGCACAATGCTGTGCAGATGTTTCGAGTCGCTGTCTGGCTGTTGTGGGCTGTTGCCAGAACATTGCTAAATGTGGTTGCTAAGGTGGTCTAGTTGTCAGCAGTGGTTGCAGCACGTTGCTATGCAGTTGCTAAGGTGTTCCTAGCAGTTGTGTGGTTGCTAGCGTGTTGTTGGTTGTTTATAGGCAGTTACTTACTGGCCAAAGTAAAAAAAAAAAAAAGAGTCCATCTTCAATATTATCTGTGAGATTTTTTTTTTCATCCGTTTTAATAGTAACCCCACAACTCCTCAACAATATAGTTTGAGGAATCATTCCGTCACAAAGTTTCATAATTAGTGATTTGTTCAAATCTCTAGCCCAAAGTATGAGCAACAGTGACGCTTTCCTGAGCCAACATCACTAATATAAACACAAACACTTGAAAGCAGCGTCGTGTTGAAGGCGCATCGATTCTTGTCACATATCGATCGATCGATAATCCCTCTCAAACTCACAGACGTGAAGCACTAACTTACAGAAGAAGGAGATGAGGGAAGCATGCCCATATACCTTATTTATTCCGTTTCCCATGCCACGGTGTTTGTTAGCAGTGGCTAGTATTTCAGGAGTCCGCTTAAACGAGGTTTGTACCAGTATATCAACAATTTTGAATCACTAGTGGAAGCGCTCACAACACAAGCCTCACATCCAACTTGTCGTGCTCACTCAAATCTGTGTCGAGTTCCTGGAGCCTCTCTTAAAGGCGCAGTACACAATTAACAGACACCAATTCTGCCCAAGGACTCACGGGTCGTTTTGCTATCAGGACTGTTTTAAAGTGGAATAACTGTATTTCAGATTAAAATTAGTAAATAGTAAGTTTAAAAACACACAGTTGTCTTTTAAATTAGGTTAGTGTAGTCTAAGTGTCATCATCAATGTGATCCTTCTCTGCGAAATGGGTAAATATATGAATGCATTACACTTGGAGAACGATAACAAGAGGACATTTTTAGTTTTTTATAACCGTTTTCTGCAAGCTTGATTCTGATTAGCCAATCCATTGTAACTGTGTTGTAACCGTAACTCCACTGGCCTCTAGTTAACCCAATAAATTGATTCAAATTTATTTATTTATCTTCCATTTGCTCCATCACCATAACATTTTCTTTGATATTGATGCATAATTGTTTTAATTTAATATAGTATTTATTTATTTAAATACATTGCATATCTTGGAGAACGATAACAAAGAGGAAATATTTCAAATAACAAATTTCTGGAAAGCTTGATTCTGATGGGTCACTCCACTGTCTCTACAAGTAAGCCCATAAAATAAATCCTATCTATCTATCTATCTATCTATCTATCTATCTATCTATCTATCTATCTATCTATCTATCTATCTATCTGTCTGTCTGTCTGTCTGTCTGTCTGTCTGTCTGTCTGTCTGTCTGTCTGTCTGTCTGTCTGTCTGTCTGTCTGTCATCAATCTATCTATCTATCCATTTGTTCCATCACCCTACAAACCTTTGATTTGAACATTTGACATTGATGCATCATTTTTAAAGTTTACAAACATTGGCTGTTTATTTATAACAAGCTAATAAATGTTCAATTGGTGAACATTAGTTGCCTACATACATACATGAGCAGTAATAAGCTGACATCGCTAGATTAAGTGTGGTCTCGTGATCTGGTTTTCTGCTGTTGATTATGTTTGTCTGCCTGAATTTTACTTTCACTTTGTAAACCAATATCCCGGAAGCAAAGGAGAAGAGGAGAGAATCGGCGTTATGTCACACGGTATGATATACTGATGTACTTTCGTGTTTCTGGTCAGTGTTAAACGTGTTTTTTCGGTAGTAGGTGAAGTCTAATGGTTGAAGTCAACAAAGGAACAGAGCAAAAGTTGCGTCCATCCGACTTGAATTGTAACTAACGAATGGAAAAGTCTTGCCAAAGGGAAATGTACAGCGCAACAAACTGCAACTTTTCGCCTACTGACGTTAATCATTATTAATTTGTATCTGTCGGTTTTCTCGGATCTACTTTTTTTCTGTGGGTTTTCATTTCAATTCTCACTTTTTGAGCGTCGGGAAATAGCGATTTGAAGACTTAATGTTCGCCACTTCCGCAATGCTCCAGACAGAGTTATAAAGTTGTAGCCTATTTTTCTGTTGTTCTAAGGGAAGTGGTAGAATAGAGGAACTATGGCTACAGCATCGAGCCTGAGTCTCATGAAGCCAACAGACCTGATCAAGAAAGAGCCTTTGGATTATGGAGGGTTTGGGGAAGTGTACCTGTGTTACCACAAAACACTAGGCCAGGTGGTGTTAAAGACAGTCTACACTGGACCGCCTCGCATCGGGTGAGTAACAGGCATGTCTGGGCAAGAACTCGCTTCTTTATGCTTTGTTGACTTTAATAAATTCCATTTAAAGGCTTAGTTCATCCAAAAATTAAAACCATCCCACAATTTACTAATGTATCACTCGAAAATGAAAATTCTCTCATTGTTTTCTCACCGTCAAGTTGTTCCAAACCTGTATGAGTATCTGCTGAACACAGAAGGAGATATGTTGAAGAATGTTTGTAACCAAACTGATCTACTGATGGAGACTTCCATAGTAGGGGGAAAAAAATACTATGGTAGTCAATCTGTAGATCTGTTTGGTTACATACATTCTTCCAAATATCTTCCTTTGTGTTTAGCAGAAGAAAGAAACTCATACAGGTTTGGATCAACTTGAGGGTAAGTGACCGATGAGAGAATTTTTTTATTTTTGGGTGAACTTTCAATTTAAGGGTGAGTAAATGATGGGATGATTTTGTGTGTGAACTAACACACTTTAATATGACTGTGTGCCAGGCGCCAGAAGCAGTCTCTCCTGGATGAAGGCAGTCTGATGAGCAGACTCAACCATCAGCGAGTGGTCAAGCTGCTGGGTGTGATTCTGGAAGACGGAGACTATTCTTTAGTGATGGAGCTCATCCCGAACGGAAACCTGCTCAGCATGCTGGAGACGGTGAGACTCGCTGACTCTGCGTAGCACTTTTACGACAAAATGTACATCAAGTTTTGCACTTTTATTTGAATGTGACCAGTGTGACATCGAGTGTCCAAAGACAATCTGAATGTACTTGAAATTTTACAATGATTTCTATTTCAAGGACGCTCAACATCTGTAAAGTTATTTTGGCACCTTGATATAAAATGCAGCATCAGTTAATGTTCTTTTCAATTGCCAAATGAACATTACTACTATCCGAGTTGAATTCTTTAAAGTCAGCTTGAAAGTTGCGCTAGTGTTTTCTTCCCTGACGAGGGTTGCAAAATTCCTGGAATTTCCAAAGTTGGAAACTTTCTGGAATTAACGGAAATGTGTATAATATAATATATACACTCACCGGCCACTTTATTAGGTACCCCATGCTAGTAACGGGTTGGACCCCCTTTTGCCTTCAGAACTGCCTCAATTCTTCGTGGCATAGATTCAACAAGGTGCTGGAAGCATTCCTCAGGGAGTTTGGTCCATATTGACATGATGGCATCACACAGTTGCCGCAGATTTGTCGGCTGCACATCCATGATGCGAATCTCCCGTTCCACCACATCCCAAAGATGCTCTATTGGGTTGAGATCTGGTGACTGTGGAGGCCATTTTAGTACAGTGAACTCATTGTCATGTTCAAGAAACCAATTTGAAATGATTAGAGCTTTGTGACATGGTGGAAGTAGCCATCAGAGGATGGGTACATGGTGGCCATAAAGGGATGGACATGGTCAGAAACAATGCTCAGGTAGGCCGTGGCATTTAAACGATGCCCAATTGGCACTAAGGGGCCTAAAGTGTGCCAGGAAAACATCCCCCACACCATTACACCACCACCACCAGCCTGCACAGTGGTAACAAGGCATGATGGTTCCATGTTCTCATTCTGTTTACGCCAAATTCTGACTCTAACATCTGAATGTCTCAACAGAAATCGAGACTCATCAGACCAGGCAACATTTTTCCAGTCTTCAACTGTTCAATTTTGGTGAGCTCTTGCAAATTGTAGCCTCTTTTTCCTATTTGTAGTGGAGATGAGTGGTACCCGGTGGAGTCTTCTGCTGTTGTAGCCCATCCGCCTCAAGGTTGTGCGTGTTGTGGCTTCACAAATGTTTTGCTGCATACCTCGGTTGTAACGAGTGGTTATTTCAGTCACTGTTGCCCTTCTATCAGCTCGAACCAGTCTGGCCATTCTCCTCTGACCTCTGGCATCAACAAGGCATTTCCGCCCACAGAACTGCCGCTCACTGGATGTTTTTTCTTTTTCGGACCATTCTCTGTAAACCCTAGAGATGGTTGTGCGTGAAAATCCCAGTAGATTAGCAGTTTCTGAAATACTCAGACCAGCCCTTCTGGCACCAACAATCATGCCACGTTCAAAGTCACTCAAATCAACTTTCTTCCCCATACTGATGCTCGGTTTGAACTGCAGGAGATTGTCTTGACCATGTCTACATGCCTAAATGCACTGAGTTGCCGCCATGTGATTGGCTGCTTAGAAATTAAGTGTTAACGAGCAGTTGGACAGGTGTACCTAATAAAGTGGCCGGTGAGTGTATATACCATTATCCATATAAAACAATCGATTAAAGTTCTACTCACCAATAAATCAAAGTCAAAAATGACATTTTAAAAATTTGTATTAGTTTGCATGCATAACTGCTTATGGCCAAACAAAATGTTTATATTTATATAAATGATCCCACATTTCCAGTCAAGGGTATGCGTGTGACGTCAGCGCCGGCCAGAGTGACTGCGGTCACACACACTGAGTGGCAGAAACACTGAGCGGCAGTGTTTGTTATCAGCGTGAATGCCTGAAAAACACACAAAACAACATCGATCACTGCGATTCACAGAAACAACTGGAGAGCGAAGGGATTTGCAGTTATTCATTGTCTGTCAATATGCTGAATTTAGGGGTAGGATCATACCCTATATATTAGTATATTGATAATTCATCAATTAAATATTTACCATCGTATTTTCTGCATAATTAGACGTTTTTAAATAAACAAGTTTTAGGGCTGGACGATATAATGATATAACATTGATATAAGTGATCACATAGATTTGGACTTATATTGTATTTATATAAAGCGTTCACAGGCAAATTTGCTTTATGTATGTCCATGTATTTCACATATAAATGTCAGGAAACACGATTCCTGCTGCATGTCAGTATCCACGGATCACTGGATCTTTGGTAAGTTGTAAGGAAAAATAAATCGAGTCCAAACTTTAGTTTAAACGATAATCGTTTGTTTTACTCGCGTTTTCGCAGTTTCGGAGTGTGTTCCCGCGGGAAAGTGACGTCAATGCATACCCGATCTATTAATTCCCATAAATTCCCGTTAAGTTTCCAACTTGGACTATTTCCAAAATCCCCCAGCTTAAATTCCCATGGAAAGTTTCTGGAAATGCATTGCCTAACTGTGACGTATATCCAGGGTGGGATTTGCTGGGGGGACGGGGGGGATTTCCCCTCCTCCGGGATAACATTCATCCCATTCATTGAACATTCATTGGAGTTTATGAATAAGTGTTTTGGCACACCTGGCTCGAGTGGCGCTTTGCATTGTTCTAAAATTAGGTTAATTGTGGCATGTTAAATTAGCGTTCGATGAACGCGCTGGGATTTTCTTTTTCTCATAACAGTGAACAACTCTGTTGTTTTTGGTCATATAGATAAGAGTAAGACATCTTCTTTTATTTGTATCTTTATGCTTTTGTAAAATAAAGAAAAAAGAAACAGACGGTAACACTTTACTTGAAGGGGTGTGCATACGACTGACATGACACCTTCATAATCATAACATGACACGTCATGAATATGAAGGAGGTTTCATGCATGGTTACGGCAACTGTCATTAAGTGTCATTCGCTCAATTATGACATTTTGAAAGCAAGTATGACATTGTTTGAGATGTGAGATGAGATGCAGATATGAGATGTCTTTGTCATGACAACTTGACATAACCAAGAGAACATAAATTGTCATAGATATGTCATAAACATGACATAGCAGATTAATCATCAAACTTAAGAAAGCACTTAGCTTTATGGGTTAACATTACATTAAACTGTCAGGTGGTTGGTTTTGACATTGGCTGTCATGAGGCCATTATAACTGTGTCATGAATATTTTTCTTGACCTCAACTACAGTGGTACACATTGAATTTGTCATTAAAATGTCATTTAATGACATTAAGTAGTTTCTTATCTACTGAAGCTAAGTAGTTTCTTAAGTTTGATAATTAATCTGCTATGTCATGTTTATGACATATTTATGACAGGTTATGTTGTCGTGGTAATGTGAAGGTGACATAACAAAGACATTTCAAACAATGTCATATTTGCATTAAAAATGTCATAATTGAGCGAATGACATTTAATGACAGTTGTCATAAACATCCATAAAACCTCCTTCATATTCATGATGTGTGTCATGTCATGATTATGAAGGTGTCTTGTCAGTCTTATGCACACCCCTTCAAGTAAAGTTACCAAATTATATATATAGAAAGCTTGAAATGTAAAATTAATGATGTAATCCATATGAAACCAAGGAGACACAGTGCTTCAGTGAGGAAAGGAGAAGGCATGAGAGGGGAATGTCACTACACTTGATGAATTAAAGTGTAAAAATGGATTCAAATATAACTTTTTCAAAAATGTTCCGTTTTTGTTTCATTAAAGTTTATAATTATTCTACAAATGTTACTTTAACAGCTGCTTATAATACCCACTGTGGTTCGTGATTTTATTTTCAAAACTTTCATAAAGTTTAGCTTTTTTTCACAAATCTGAAAAAGTTGAGCTTTTTTCCCTGTGTATATATCCGTGTAGCGGCTTCTTAAACTAGAACAACAGTAGAGAGGAGATGCTGCGAGACAAAGCGTATGTTATGGTGGTGAAAGATTACGAGGCGCATGAATAAACAAAAAATAATGATGTGCATGGATGAATCATTTATATGGAAGCTTATGTGTAGCAATATTCAATTTAAAATGTAATATGCAAAATGATAATGCAATATGTAAAATGACAATGCAATATGTAAAATGGAAATGCATTTCTGTATTTAAATTAACATTTTCCATTACATTTGTGCAACGTTTGGTGAAAAATGAAAATGATAATTCAATTATATAATTTACATTTGCCATTTCATACATATGTTTTAATATGTAAATTGAATACATATTTTAACGCTTTATAAGTTGCAAAATAAAAATGAAAATGTATTAAAGAAATTATTAGATCTGTTTAAAATGTTCAAGCAAAAACTGTAGCAAAATGATCATTTAAATGTTATTTTTCTTAATTGCATTTACATTCACAGTTAAGACACTTGCGATTGCATTTTCATTAAATGTCCCGCAATGAATGTAGCAAAATTCAATGTGCAAATTGAAAATGCATTCCGAGCCGATCACGCCCCTGCCCCGCCCCCTCCCTCCCGCTCGCTCTTGTCAATCACTGTGTGAAGTTGGCCCCGCCCCCACCCAATGCAAAACGTCGGCAAAATTGGCTCAATCGTTTTTACTTCATTTGTGCTGTTACTTTGCTTTATTGTTTGTTCTGCTTCGATTTTTAAGATATTTAAAGAATATTTATAGGTCATTCTGAGGTCACCCAGCCCCCCACATCCTCCAAATAAAATAGTCTCGTTCGTTTGTGCCGGTTGTGGCTTCGGTTTTTAAAATATTAGACCAATTATAGACGATGGCATCAAAACCCGTCAGATTCCGTGATGACCCTATATACAGTATTTATAAATATCTGATCAATATGCTTTATAAAATAGAAAAGGGAGATGGTTAAACATCACATGAGACACTTTATTGAACATTACAGTCAGTTATGAAGAAATAAAGAGCGGTCAAATTTTTTGGAAGAGCTGAATTTGACCCATCATATTCTGTGATCTCAGAGTAGGTGCATTTGTAAAGAAAACCTGTAGGATCTCCAACATTATTGGGTAATTATAGTTAATAGTAATAAGAATAAAGTTAAGCATATGTGTATCAGACAATGAGAATATTTAATACAAAACGAAACAATCATTAACAGAGTCCTGCATCAGACAACGACAGCGCAGCATAATGTTGACATCAAACGGGTGATACTGATAAGGCAGAACATTCTCCCACACGGTCCAACAATGCACTGGTATCACCTGCAAACGCGTAATAATCCTCGGAAACACTACAATTTCTCTGTTCACGCTTCCCTTCATCTACCAGTAAATTTACGCTCGTATCAGCTCTGCCGCCGCCATGTTTCCTTCCAACACCTCAAAATGTTGCCGAGCCCCGCCTTGACGCAGTGATTGACAAGAGCGAGCGGGAGGGAGGGGGCGGGGCAGGGGCGTGATCGGCTTGGAATGCATTTTCAATTTGCACATTGCATTTTGCTACATTCATTGCGGGACATTTAATGAAAATGCAATCGCAAGTGTCTTAACTGAGAGTGTAAATGCAATTAAGAAAAATAACATTTAAATGATCATTTTGCTACAGTTTTTGCTTGAACATTTTAAACAGATCTAAAAATTTCTTTAATAAATTTTCATTTTAATTTCGCAACTTATAAAGCGTTAAAATGTGTATTCAATTTACATATTAAAACATATGTATGAAATGGCAAATGTAAATTATATAATTGAATTATCATTTTCATTTTGCACCAAACGTTGCACAAATGTAATGGAAAATGTTAATTTAAATACAGAAATGCATTGCCATTTTACATATTGCATTGTCATTTTACATATTTAATTATCATTTTGCATATTACATTTCAAATTGAATATTGCTACACATAAGCTTCCATACATTTACTGTATAATAAACACTGCAATATTCCATAAAAAAAAGAGAAGATTTGTCCATTTTTGATTTCATCGTGACTCTGTTTCTATCCTCGTATTTTAGCCGAGTCAAATATTGTTTGCTTCATTACCTGATTTGCATAATTCCTTTAGTTTACTGGGCAATTAGGAAACCAATTGCAGTTCATTTTAAGAGAATTTTCTCCTCAGTTTTGAAGTGGTGCACTTAATAATTTCCTCATATTGTTTGTTCCAGGTGACGGTTCCAATATCTGTGAAAGGAAGGATCATTCTGGAAATCTTGGAGGGAATGGTTTATCTCATGGAGAACCAAGTTATTCACAAAGATCTAAAACCCGAGAACATCCTGGTGGACAAGCATTTCCATATAAAAGTATAACACTTACCTCTTGATTCCCCAAAAAACACCCTTTGCAATATAGTTAAATATTTAGACCTGTTTCATATTAAGGCAAGACACTACAGGCAATTCTTCTTCTTCTTCTTCTTCTTCTTCTTCTTCTTCTTCTTCTTCTTCTTCTTCTTCTTCTTCTTCTTCTTCTTCATGCACAGGTCAATTTGGCATTTGTGCTGTTTCAGACTAGTGGACAGAAAACATTAAAAAATAACGGTAACGCTTTATTTGAAGAGGTGTGCATAAGACTGACATGACACCTTCATAACTTGACATGACACCTGTCATTAATATGAAGGAGGCTTTTTTGCATGTTTATGACAACTGTCAAGTGTCATTTGCTCAATTATAAAAAAAAAGAATGCAATTATGACATTGTTTGAGATGACATTGACATTACTAAGACAACACAACCTGTCATAAATATGACATAGCAGATTAATTATCAAACTTAAGAAACTACTTAGCTTTATTGATTAACATTACATTAAACTGTCAGGTGGTTGGTTTTGACATTGGCTGTCATGAGCCATTTATAACATTTTAATGACAAATTCAATTTGTACCACTGTAGTTGAGGTCACGAAAAATATTCATGACACAGTTATAATGGCCTCATGACAGCCAGTGTCAAAACCAACCACCTGACAGTTTAATGTAATGTTAACCCATAAAGCTAAGTGGTTTCTTAAGTTTGATAATTAATCTGCAATGACATGTTTATGACATATTTATGACAAGTTATGTTGTCTTGGTAATGTCAAGTTGTCATTACCAAGACACTGACAGGTTATGATGTATTGGTTTGTCATAATTGAGCGAATGACACTTAATGACAGTTGTCATAAACATGCATAAAACCTCCTTCATATTCATGACGTGTGTAATGTCATGATTATGAAGGTGTCATGTCAGTCTTATGCACACCCCTTCAAGTAAAGTGTTACCAAATACACTTTTAAGTGTTTGCACTTTATTTACGTCTGTATATTTCAATTACAGTGCATATTTTTAAAGGTTGTTTTTCAAAATAAGTTTCCAGTAACACTTTATTTTACAGTGTCCTTGTTACACATGTTACATGTAGTTACTGTAGTAATAACTATAAATTATGCATAATTACATAACCCTCAACCAAACCATAATCCTAACTCAAACTCTAAAGTAAGTACATGTAGTTAATTATTAATACTCAGTACTTAAATGTATAATTACACTGTAACACGGACACCTTAAATAAAGTGTAATCGAGTTTTCAGAAAAATGTATTGCAATTCTTAATGTAATCAGTCAACTTGGGAAGTATGATGATAACTATTAGTTAATATTTTTACCCTATTGACCTGTGATGTCTTGCCTTAAATGAAAATAATTATTAATAGATTAGATTATGGTCTGATATGGTACCGCAGCACCAACCTCATAAAAACAAGACAAAATTATGACTTGTATCATAATCATAATTGCTATTTTGAGCTTAATATTTCGCAAATGTGTCTCGTCAAGCAGCTGATAACGTCTGTAGTATCTTCCTGCAATATTTTGTCATTGCAATATAAAAAATAAAAAAAATTGCAAAGAGAAGAAATATATAGTATATCGCAAGCATTTTTGGGATATCGCATATAAACTACGATAGAAACACATTTACCAAATAAATCCCTCGATGCGCAACAAAAAAACTCATGTGACTTTGCCTCAACAGATTAGATTGGATAACTAATCAAACCAGCGGACCAATCGCATCGCACAGCATCTTAAATGTTGGTTTAATCATTCTGAAATTACTGAGCCAAAGACTGAACCCGAAATCGCCCCCTATACCCTCATTTGGGCGTTATTTGAGGGGACAGCCATTTGTATTGGTGTCCCAAACCCCAGTGGACGTCAGTGAGTGCACTTATTCAATCCCACATTGCACCGCAATAACGAGTGTTTGTTTGTTTTGCATCAGATAGCAGATCTGGGTCTGGCCACATCTGAGGCGTGGAGCAAGCTGACGAAAGAGGAATCTCGCAGACAGAGTCGCCTGGGAAAGAAGTCGTGTTTGCGCGGCGCCGGCACGCTGTGCTATATGGCCCCGGAGCACCTCGGGAGCATACACACCCGCTCCACCGAAAAATCTGACGTCTACAGTTTTGCCATAGTCGTTTGGGTCATCCTCACGGGCCGTGAGCCGTATGAAAGTGAGTCTCGTTTCAGAACAACTTCCTTCTGTGGAAGGACAATGTTAGCACTGCTCTTTTATATATGCCAGAGAGTCTTTTTCAGGGTAATTTTCATTATTGCTGTCAGTTTAAACAGCACAGTTCCTTATTCTCAAAGAAAAAAAGTAGGGTCCCTGATATAACACTTAGAAAAAAATTATATTAGCCTCATGTACATTTATTTGAACCAAAACAGCCATGATATAGTTTAACATGACCATTTCCTACAATAAAATAGTCCTTTTTTGCTGCCATTGTGCTTTTAAGGCTATGTAAATGCATGCAAACCCTATTAAAGCAACACTAAGTAAGATTTTTTACCTTAAAATAATGTTTCCAAAATCGTTTCAGTGGTTCATTAAGTCGTGCCATGGTGAAAGGCACTTCTGGATTCGCTTTGCGGTCCTTTATCTGATAAATCCACGCTATGTAAGATTGCCAGATCGGGTCGCGTTTCTGTAGTTCTAATGAGACATAAGAAAACTACAAATTTGACTTGCTTTACGGCAAGCGTTACAAAAGTCATTATTTTGTTTTTCTTCGTTTCTGATGTCGCAATACATCATACTTTCATGAAATCATGCAACATACTCTTCCTTGTCTGTGGACATCGTTCGTTCCAAAGCCGGCGCTGGATAAACAGCGAGCGTGCGTGCGAAAGTAGGATGCGGAAGGCTAAATTATTTACCACAGCGGTAATGGACAATTCCGCTTCCAACCTGTAGGGCGACCGCAGAGGAAAAGTTACTTGGTGTTGCTTTAATATTTGCCCTATAACAAGCTCAAGGCCAGTATTTAACCAGAAAGTGTTTTTTCTGTTACTTCAGATGCCAGAAGTGAGGATCAAATCTGCCACTGTGTGTGTCAGGGGGAACGGCCCAATGAAGCGCTAATCCCGAGTGACACACCTCAAGAGATCATAGACCTCATGAAGACGTGCTGGAAGGAGGAGTGCAAGGACCGCCCCACATTTAAAGGTAGAAGCACTGAAGTTTTATCCTCAAATGAATGTTTTGTCACACGTGCCAATGCGAGTGAATTGAGAATATTTACCAACCACAAATCTTCCTCACCAGACATGTTTTGCAATATTTCTGTCAATTTAGCACGTTCATTTACAATCTTTGGGATAAATGGTTCCAAGAACCTTAAACACACATGGAACCTTTCCATTGCGTAAAAGTTTCTCAGTAGTGGAAAGGGGTTCTTTAGATTACTCAAATGGGAACAGTTCTCTGGGGAGCCAACAGGACATGTAATGCCCTTTTTTTAAAGTCTTGATTTTGTTTTTGTGCTCTACTAGAATATGTTTCATTTTTAACTGGAACTTCAATGCTACATCTGGTTTCATCATGGGATGCGCCCATGGGGTTGACATGCTTTTGACTCCGGCTGTATATTTCGTAGAGCATATTTATGATTTTCCCACTATGTTTGGTGAGGCAGGCATTCCCTCAGCATGGCGTAGCGGGTATTGCTTCCCCATAGCATCAATACCAAACGCAGACCACAGACGTTACTGTCACCAATGCCATCTTCCAATGATTATTGGCTTTTGTTTACACACTGGTGGCGTTCCCCATAGTGTCAATACCAGATGCAGTGTCTTGTTTACCTTCTCATACGCAACACAAGCGGTTTTCATGCTTGAATGTTCAGAAACACTAGCTTGACTTCGTCATACTCATATTCTAGTCAGACTGTGAGTCTGATGCTGCTCAATAGGGCTTTGATTATGAGGCGTGTCTTAACCGAACCAGGAAAAAAATAAACTTGATGCACTCAATTGGATAGACCTACAACCAATCAGAGCAACGCAGTAAGTCTTTTTCTTATGAGCTTTGATAGTTGTCAACAGAACTACACGCACGCTGGAAGAATTAGTAAAATAATGAGTGTTGCTTCTTTTACTTGGTCCTCCATGAGTGCGACCAAAGGAGAAACCACAACGACCACAGTGTTTTCATTGCGTCCCATCTTCTTAGCGACCATCGGAGCCAGCTGATAAAATAAACTTTTGCCGAATCCCGTAGGAAGGACGGCAAACACATCTTTCCGATCGACAAATGCCTTGATTGCAGTTCTCTGTTCGTCTATTAAAATGAATGCGCTGTCGATTGCTTTTACAACGGACGCGATAGCGGGATCTGTACATCTCAGTTCTCCACCGGCAGTCATCTCTGAGGGAAACCAGTTCAACCCAAGCGCTCTCTGATAACGTGATGATTACGTAACTGCAGATCATCTGTCCATCATCGTATAAAGCCCGCCCTGGCAATTTGATTGGCCCGACTAGTTCTGAACCGATCATAATTACTCCTCAATGGATCGAGTCCAGACCGAACTTCCCGACCAAAAATGTTGTGGGCGGGGTTCGGGCTGGCATCCAGGCAACAGAAACACATTACTTTTCACAAATTTGACATTGCAGCTCCTCTCTTCCCAGTCTGTCAGTAACGCTCTGTTTAGTTCCTGTCTCTATGAAGTCCCTCCTTCTGAGAAGCACAATGTGCTCTGATTGGTCAACCACTTCCAGCATGTCCCGCCCCTTACCAAAAATACAAGTTTCAACGCGCTACACTACTAACTAACTCAACCAGGCTCCGACCCTTTGTTTTGGATATGCCTTGGGCGGGAATTATTTAAATGAGGAATATTGTAACGTCTTCGTTCCCGGAACAAATATCAAGACTACAATGGGGGTGTTTCAGAGAGTTCAGAAACAAACAGCAATATTACACATTAAAGAAAGTTGAATATGTAAAAAAGCAAACAATTATCGTTCATGGTGTAAAGGGCCTAAATTCTTTATTTGTTTTATAAGTTTTATTTGCTTGCCAAAGCCGGTTTGTAATTGCATTTGGCACATGTTGACTGTTCATTTTGGGCCTGGATTACATTGTATCCAAAAACCAGTTCAGTTCAGATTTTCAATTAGTTTGTTTGTTTTATTTTTTAATTTCTTTTTACAGATAGCTATGAGAGCTTGTTACCGTTTTACAGAGAAAAGCTGGAACCAAATGTAAAAGCGGATTTGGAAAGTCTGATGGTAAGTTTTTGTTGTTGTTGTTGTTGTTGTCTCTCAGCTTGTGTGTCAGGTGAATCTGTCAGTGTTGAAATGTCCCAAAATAATCACTCATTTATTCTTTTAAAGGTTCCTAGGCCTGCTGAGATTATTACATAATTGCCTGAGCACAGAAATTCCCTGAAATATACATAATAAATACTTAAATATATGTTTAAGTATTTAGACTTCAAAATGATAAAACATTTTAATAGTATACAAGATTTGTTTTATGATCGTTAAAGGAAATCTACGGAGCCCCAGAAGGGACATGGTGGTGGAAAAATATGTGGTGGAAGGAAACAATATATTTCAATGCTTGTGTATTTTCTCGCAAAACTTTTGCGTTCCCCTTAGAAACTTTGCTTTTGCTCACAAATAACTCAACGCAAAAGCATTAAAGGGATAGTTCACCCAAAAATGAAAATTAGCCCATGATTCACTCACCCTCAAGCCATCCTAGGTTTATATGACTTTCTTCTGTCAGACGAATACAATCAGAGTTATATTAAAAAATATCCTGGCTCATCCAAGCTTTATAATGGGAGTGAATGGCTGTTGATATTTTGAAGCCCATAAAAGTGCATCCATCCATGATAAAAGTGCTCCACACGGCTCTAAAGGCCTTCTGAAGTGAAGCGATGCGTTTGTGTAAGAAAAATATCCATATCTAAAACTTCAAAACGAACTTGACGCATATGACGTAATGACGAATGCGGGAGCGAAGAGGATAGAGCAAAACAAAACACCGATCTAAATTATAAGAATACAATAAGCTCTTTTTAAGCAATTCATGTATTCATAGAAGCCATTATTTAACCTAGACATTATTTTGTATTTTTTTGTACAAATACAATACTCTCTGATTTAAGACAAGTTTATTTAAAGTCTATTTATTTAAAACTCCTTTTCATTTTTTTTTATACACTGACAAAACTCATACGATATTGTTTTCTGTACGTGTTTCTGCATTATACTAACACAGTGTCCAGTGCAACTTACAATAGAGGAACATGAGCATGATCATATTTGTCTTTGCTCTTTTAGAGTTGGATACAACCTAAAGGTGAATTTTTAAAGAGTTAACCGTGTCCCCTTCCATTTGAATCATTCTGATTCGCAAAATGAATCGTAATGTTTACATGACCGTTAAATAAAGTGATCGGGTTGATTAAATCAGAATAGATTTTTTAACATGTGCACACTGCAAAAATGTACAGATTTTCCCGCTGTTAACACGTACTAACCGTTCTCCTACATTGCTTCTTTTCCTTGTTTTAAAGAGCAGACTTGATATTTATCTATTCCGGGTGCTAATTTAGGAAACGACGAGCACAAAAAGCTCTGTGCCGTGCTGCTTATATTTATCAAGCAGTAAAAGCGCCCCAAACAAGCAGTGGATGAGAGTCCGAAGCAAGGACTGATGGGACGATGTTGTCCTGCTCCACTTCACAGACGCTGAGTGGAAGGAGAATTTGTTGCAAACTTCTTTCAATGGAAAGTAGCTAAAGCCTGCTCGAAAAGTTGCCAGATGGCGTCATACACGAATTAGCATTACGTAATTGCGTAGTATTTGCATTAAAGACTACATGTTAACCAGCTCTCCCTTCCAAACTGTTAATCTGCACTAAAATCTTACTTATCAGGGCCCGTGTGAACACAGCTATTGAAAAGAGCAGACTCCGTATGATTCATTCGTGAATTGGTCGTTACTAGACCATATTTCTTGAATTCACACGTCTACTTGAACTCATGTTGTGCACGTTTTGAAACCAGTCACATAATAATGACTGCATTTGTGGTAGAGATGCAGTCAGGAAGTGAAACATAGGATACAGTCGTGCTACCTGTAGTATTATTTATTTCATTACATTGCTTTGTTTTGCACAGAGATTGTATCAGGGCCCTGAGGAGCTTGTAGAAAAAATGAAATCCCTCACAACAGACTCGCTCACTCCTGAAGGTAAGCAAATGTATTCATAAAATGACGTTCATGTTGTGGATTTGCTGTTTTACTTCGGGGATCAGCAACCATTTGACATCAAGTGCCATTTTTGTTGTTTATCATTGTGACACCCATATAAATATTAGGGCTGTTAACGCGTTAACGCATGCAATTAATTTTTTTCAAGTTTAACGCGTTAAAATATTTAACGCAATTAACGCAGCATCCGTTCATTTTTGTCATCCTTGGGTAGCGTTACATTATATGATCCCGCTCTTATTCATGCAAATGCTTTTAAACCATTCGTCCTTCTTTTGTCACCTACTATATAGTATGGAAGTAGGCATGTTCGGATGCAGCGCATGTTTCGCTTTTAAATTAATTATTTTAGGTTTGGTGTTTATAATAAATTATGTTTATAATGAATGCCACTATAATTTATGTTTGCTTTATACTTGTATTTTTCATTCCCTTTCTGTTCGAAATACTGTTAAATTTAGAGGATTTTTGCATTCCCATTTGCTCCAGTTACAAAAGAAAAAATCAATAGCATTTCTATGACGTTAAAAAGAGGATAAAAATGTCAAGAGATCGATTACGTTGGTCAGAAGAGAGAGAGAGATGTCAAATTTGCTATCACTCCCTCAGCCGTTGTATTAAACACTTAAGCAGCAGTTTTCTGTAATTTAATGTCAAGGTAATGCATCATCAACACTGATTAATTTTTTTTTTTATTAATCATAACTAACATTTATTTTCCTTGCAGGAATAACATTTATATGCTTTTGAAACCTAAATGTTTCCAAACACTTTGGTCAAAGTCAGTCAGTGTGTGTCTGAATCAACCCCGAATATAACAAAAGGGGAAATTAAACGTATAAATTAATTTTATAAACTCATGACTTTGAGTAACAAAGTAAAGCTTCTACCTAGTAACAGAAGGGTTTGCTGAATTATGCATATGAAGAACCAATAATATTGGAGAAAAATGAATAATTAAATATTATTTAAATCATGGCTCGCTCCATGGGGGATTCGCTGTGTACATGAGTGACAACACGGACTGAGTTTAAGTTGTTTCATAGTTTGTGATTTTTTTGTTATTTGCAACAATGGTCATTGTACTTGAGGCACAACAGATGCTCATATATGCAACGTTTCTTGTGTTTCCGCAGACCCTTCGCCATCTTCCAGAGACTCTCCAGCGCCCTTGAGGAGCTCGGACATCGGGCCGGTGGAGGCCAGCATTGAAGATCTCAGCTTCAGGACGGCTGAAGAGTCTCTCCTGGAGATGGACGCAGCTCCTCCCAGCTCTCCACATCTGGAGCTGAAACTGGCACAAGAGTACAACTATCACAAATATGGCAGTCGAATAGTCGATCAGCCAGACTTGCCATCGCACAGCGTCCATAATCCGCCCCCACAGCAACCGGCCAGTAGCAGGTGGGCCGGAGATGTGTCTGCTCAGATGTCTTCTGTGAAACCCACCACTTACCCAACCCCGCTGGACAATCTCTATCTGAGACCGGCTGCTGCGACTTCATTAGACAGTTCTCACAGGCAGGACTTTGCAAGTCAGCTCTCGATGTCCTATTCTGAGGTGGACAGACTTAAACATCCTCATCATCCAACATACGATCGTTTCAAGTCCTGCCCAGATAGTGGATCAGCAGCAGAGTCTTTCATACCGGATTCAAACCCTGGTCTGCGTTTTAACTCGCAACTCGTATGTCCTCCGTCTGACTCGGGTACAGTGAACAGTGAACATTAAGCTACTGAGTTGTTTTTCCTTGGAATGCCGTACTGGGACCGTACTTTTAACTTTTCTCCTCCTTTGTTTGCTTTTTCTTTAGGGTGGCCTGTGAACATCTCGAATGCCAAAGCAATTCAAATCGGGAATTGCAACACGATGAATTTGCGAATGACTGATAGCAGCCCATCATTCCTCAGCTCTTTATCCACTGGATCTGCCAACAGAACCAGATATAATGAGCTTCTATCGAAGTACGGTAAGACGTTCTCACGCTGCTTCATACCTAGTGAGTTGCTGTGGAAAGTTCAGGGTTACTTTTAAACAGTGATGGAAATAAACGGCGTTATCTTTTTCAGTTATGAGTAATCAAACAAATTACTGTTTCCACCGTTACCGTTACTGACAATAAAATGCGGCGTTACTATAATTGAGCTCACTGAAGCGGTTTTAATCCGAGTAGGCTCTCTCTCCGCCATAGGACCTGCAAAGTTTTTTCTCTGGTGTGTGTGTGTGTGTGTGTGTGTGTGTGTGTTTGAGGCGCCGGACTAGACAAAAGCAAAGCGAACGCCGAGAGCAAGTGTGTCCGAGAGCGAGTGTGTCCGAGAGAGCGCTCGACAGTGCGTGAGAGAGAGCGAGTGTGTCCGAGAGCGAGTGTGTCCGCGAGCGAGTGTGTCCGCGAGCGAGTGTGTCCGAGAGCGAGTGTGTCCGAGAGCGAGTGTGTCCGCGAGCGAGTGTGTCCGCGAGCGAGTGTGTCCGCGAGCGAGTGTGTCCGAGAGCGAGTGTGTCCGAGAGCGAGTGTGTCCGAGAGCGAGTGTGTCCGAGAGCGAGTGTGTCCGAGAGCGAGTGTGTCCGAGAGCGAGTGTGTCCGAGAGCGCGCTCAACAGTGCGTGAGAGAGAGCGAGTGTGTCCGAGAGCACGCTCGACAGTGCGTGAGAGAGAGCGAGTGTGTCCGAGAGCGCGCTCAACAGTGCGTGAGAGAGTGCGAGTGTGTCCGAGAGCACGCTCGACAGTGCGTGAGAGAGAGCGAGTGTGTCCAAGAGCGAGTGTGTCCAAGAGCGAGTGTGTCCGAGAGCGAGTGTGTCCGAGAGCGAGTGTGTCCGAGAGCGAGTGTGTCCGAGAGCGCGCTCGACAGTGCGTGAGAGAGAGAGCGAGTGTGTCCGAGAGCGAGTGCGAGTGTGTCCGAGAGCGAGTGTGTCCGAGAGCGAGTGTGTCCGAGAGCGAGTGTGTCCGAGAGCGTGCGAGAGCGAGTGTGTCCGAGAGCGCGCTCGACAGTGCGTGAGAGAGAGCGAGTGTGTCCGAGAGCGCGCTCAACAGTGCGTGAGAGAGTGCGAGTGTGTCCGAGAGCACGCTCGACAGTGCGTGAGAGAGAACGAGTGTGTCCGAGAGCGAGTGTGTCCGAGAGCGAGTGTGTCCGAGAGCGAGTGTGTCCAAGAGCGAGTGTGTCCGAGAGCGAGTGTGTCCAAGAGCGAGTGTCCGAGAGTGTCCGAGAGGTAGTGTGTCCGAGAGTGTCCGAGAGGTAGTGTGTCCGAGAGGTAGTATGTCCGAGAGGTAGTGTGTCCGAGAGCGAGTGTGTCCAAGAGCGAGTGTGTCCAAGAGCGAGTGTGTCCAAGAGCGAGTGTGTCCGCGAGCGAGTGTGTCCGCGAGCGAGTGTGTCCGAGAGCGAGTGTGTCCAAGAGCGAGTGTGTCCCAGAGCGAGTGTGTCCGAGAGCGAGTGTGTCCGAGAGCGAGTGTGTCCGAGAGCGAGTGTGTCCGAGAGCGAGTGTGTCCGAGAGCGCGCTCGACAGTGCGTGAGAGAGAGAGCGAGTGTGTCCGAGAGCGAGTGTGTCCGAGAGCGAGTGTGTCCAAGAGCGAGTGTCCGAGAGTGTCCGAGAGGTAGTGTGTCCGAGAGTGTCCGAGAGGTAGTGTGTCCGAGAGGTAGTATGTCCGAGAGGTAGTGTGTCCGAGAGCGAGTGTGTCCAAGAGCGAGTGTGTCCGCGAGCGAGTGTGTCCGCGAGCGAGTGTGTCCGAGAGCGAGTGTGTCCAAGAGCGAGTGTGTCCGAGAGCGAGTGTGTCCGAGAGCGAGTGTTTCCGAGAGCGAGTGTGTCCGAGAGCGAGTGTGTCCGAGAGCGAGTGTGTCCGAGAGCGAGTGTGTCCGAGAGCGCGCTCGACAGTGCGTGAGAGAGAGAGCGAGTGTGTCCGAGAGCGAGTGCGAGAGCGAGTGTGTCCGAGAGCGAGTGTGTCCGAGAGCGAGTGTGTCCGAGAGCGAGTGTGTCCGAGAGCGAGCGAGTGTGTCCGAGAGCGAGTGTGTCCGAGAGCGCCCGAGAGCGAGTGTGTCCGAGAGCGAGTGCGTCCGAGAGCGAGTGTGTCTGAGAGCGAGTGTGTCCGAGAGCGAATGTGTCCGCGAGCGAGTGTGTCCGCGAGCGAGTGTGTCCGCGAGCGAGTGTGTCCGCGAGCGAGTGTGTCCGCGAGCGAGTGTGTCCGCGAGCGAGTGTGTCCGAGAGCGAGTGTGTCCGAGAGCGAGTGTGTCCGAGAGCAAGTGTGTCCGAGAGCGAGTGTGTCCGAGAGCGCGCTCGACAGTGCGTGAGAGAGAGCGAGTGTGTCCGAGAGTGAGTGTGTCCGAGAGCAAGGTGCCAGGTCGTGCTGAAAAATGAAATCTTCATCTCCATAAAGCTTTTCAGCAGATGGAAGCATGAAGTGCTCCAAAATCTCCTGATAGCTAGCTGCATTGACCCTGCCCTTGATAAAACACAGTGCACCAACACCAGCAGCTGACATGGCACCCCAGACCATCACTGACTGTGGGTACTTGACACTGGACTTCAGGCATTTTGTTCATTTCCTTCTCCCCAGTCTTCCTCCAGACTCTGGCACCTTGATTTCCGAATGACATGCAAAACTGAGCAACAGTCCAGTGCTGCTTCTCTGTAGCCCAGGTCAGGCGCTTCTGCCGCTGTTTCTGGTTCAAAAGTGGCTTGACCTGGGGAATGCGGCACCTGTAGCCCATTTCCTGCACACGCCTGTGCACGGTGGCTCTGGATGTTTCTACTCCAGACTCAGTCCACTGCTTCCGCAGGTCCCCCAAGGTCTGGAATCGATCCTTCTCCACAATCTTCCTCAGGGTCCGGTCACCTCTTCTCGTTGTGCAGCGTTTTTTGCCACATTTTTTCCTTCCCACAGACTTCCCACTGAGGTGCCTTGATACAGCACTCTGGGAACAGCCCATTTGTTCAGAAATTTCTTTATGTCTTACCCTCTTGCTTGAGGGTGTCAATGATGGCCTTCTGGACAGCAGTCAGGTCGGCAGTCTTACCCATGATTGCGGTTTTGAGTAATGAAACGGGCTGGGAGTTTTTAAAAGCCTCAGGAATCTTTTGCAGGTGTTTAGAGTTAATTAGTTGAGCAAGCATGAGCAGCGCGTATTTTTTCGGCTTGCGTTAATCAATGAGTGCATGCATTCACACCGCGAGGAGGAGCGTCGCGTGAGAAGCAGTGAAGCCGGGGTTCGGCGCCGAGTCTATTGTTGTGCTACTCACGACATTTAAAGTGAAAGCAAAGCACTTTTGATGGAGAAAATAAATATGATTTCACACAAAAAGTGCCCAAAATGCACAGAATTTGCATGTCTAATGTGTTTTAACAAGAACTGGAGTAGCCTAGGCTAAAAGAAAATGAAGACTCAAAAGTATTTATACAAGATTTAGCCATTTAAACTTGTCTTAATTATTCAGTTTGGGTAAAACTATATGTTTTATTAATAAACAAAACGAGCAAACTAGTCAGAATATAAGCTTTCTTTTAGTTTATGTAATAGCCTACACACAGACATGCCCAAATCAAACCCGAGTTTACTTTTTTTTAATGTTTGCTGTCTTGTAAACATATGACTGAAAAGACAATATCAGAGCTGTTTTCTTGGTTGTTTTTGTTGTTTACCATTTACATGTAATTGTTGTATACCTCCCATCTTAACAAACTTCAAGAATCAAGTTTATTAATGACCAACTTCTAAAAAGAGAATGTTTCTTTGTAAATAAATGCGCGCACGCACGCACACACAACTTGTTTAAATACATTTATGTTGTTAATAAATAACAATAAATTGTTGTTGTACCAGCAATATTTCCAAGTTTTATTTTTCACTGTAGAAATTTCAAATGTCATGATTTGCCAATGCAAGAGAGTACCGGCACCTTTTCCCCCCCACTTCAAGCACTGGTATTATTTCAATAGTAAGATATTATTAATGTAATAAAATAGACATATATTTAATAATTGTGGGGTTGGGGGTCAGGTTTTTTTTTTTTTTTTTTTTTTTTACATGCCTGAATCCTATTGCTTTATATGTGTTTTGTTACAACTTTAATAAATGATTTTATTAAAGTTTTGTGAATTCAATTAACTAGACATCCTTTTTGACGGAAAAACACAGATTTTGGGAAACAAATAATCGAGATTCCTGCTGTGCCACATCTGATAAATGTCATGTGATTGTGTTGTCGTGAACAGAGGACCACACCGTGACCGAAGATCACCTGGAGCTCGTGCGGCAGAACGTCGGTGGGAACTGGAAGCAAGTGGCTCGTAAACTGGGTCTGACTGACATAGACGTGGACACCATCGAGCACGACTACGGCCGCGACGGCCTGGCAGAGGTGGTGCACCAGATGCTGGAGCGCTGGAAGATGAAGGAGGGTCTGCTGGGCATCACCGTGGGTAAACTGTGCCGCGCGCTGGAGGGCTGCATCAAATCCAGCGTCCTCCTACAGCTGCTGGAGTCCTGAAACACAGCCGTATGCCATACCTGTCAACATCTGGACTCCTAAATATGGGAGATCTGAACGGGGGGGAGGGGGTGTACATAGGATGTGATGTCTTCTTTGCACGATTTTTTTCCCCACCAAACTACTTCAGCGGAAATCCCGACCTAAAGAGTTTATTGGTCATGTGTATCATAACCTTAACCAATGAAATTAGCTGCAGGGCGGGATTTCCGCTGAACTGGTTTGCGCCATAGACGGTAAAGGTTTGCGCCCAGTGGGATTTTTTTTAAAAGATTAAAAATACGGGAAAATATTTAAACGGGATGATAGCGGGATAGCAAGGTAAAATACGGGAGAATCCCGGGAGGGTTGACAGGTACGCCGTATGCTAGTGTCATGATCCCGCTCTTCATCTAAAGGTGAACCTTTACAAGGCTGACGGAATAACATCCATCACTGTTACACAGTGTATTTTTTACTGGATTGGACACGTGTTGAATGCTTCAGCATAATGATTACAATTCTTTATAATGCTGTAAACACATCATAGCATGTCTTGAGTTCATTATTGGCCGTTTTTGGCAACTGCCATTTTCCATTTCCGTTGAATCGACCTTTTTAAGGAACACATGTATGATTTTCTGTTTAGTGATTTGTTTTAAATGAAATGCTGGTATGCAGACGGGTGACAAATGACATGGAAAACCAACACACAGTTCGAACTGGTGTATAAACGTTGCGTACGCACAAAATGGGCATTTAAAACATATGGGGATTTATAAAAATAAACTTGTCCGCACACTCTTATGCGAACGCACTCTTTAACTGAAGTGAGCGAAGTAATGAAGGAAACATTCGATACACATTTATATTTAAATATGCCACTCTCATTAATGGAGTCAAGCACTCAAATTACAATAAATCATTATCCAGGGCCTAGTTGTTCAAAAAGTTTAATCTGGATCAGAATGATCTATATTTGGAAATCCCATGTTTTGCTATCCAGGATCAGGTGATCCATCTTACTTTTGGGCCGGTTTTTCAAAGAAAAATAGGTTTGGGTCCCTGTGATCCAGATACACACTTTTCCAGATGACCAAATCTGGATTAGCAGTGCTCCAAATTGAGTTACATTTCACAATGTAGGATGCTAGTATGTAAAGAACAACAGGTAGAGGAGTCCGTGGCGGTCAACCTCTGGTGCTCCTCGCGGGCCGGTCAACAATTAACACGTCTTTCATTTGATTTCAATGAAATGAATGTACTATATTTTAGTTTGATAATGTTTTTTATTTAATATTTGTATTTTGGGGGGATTTTATGGTAGTTAATTATATTTACGCTGCAGTTATAATCCATTTCTTCATGTTTTGAGCATAGACCTGAACATGAAATTTCCAACTTAAATTGTCGTGACTCTTGAATGCTTCGTTTAGAGCACAGACTTCAGACTTTGAGCGCTTCTCTTTGAAGTGAAAAACGTTAAAAACATTTAACTTATGAAAAGTTACAGAATTTTATGTTTATTATGAAAAATGTGCAAAAATACTATTTTCAATCTTTATATGCCGCATATATTTTCAAAAAAATATTTTCAGAAAATCAAAGCCATAAATCTAAACAAGTTGTGTTCCAATATCCAAAGGTATCCTAATCTTACTGAAACGTTTTGAACAACACACACTGACGATATGATCCAGATCAAAACCAAGACTGGATTTTTTTATTTTTATTATCTAATCTGATCTCAGGATAATTTAGTTTTTTCTATTGAACAACTGGCCCCTGATGACTGGAAGACCAAATCATGGGATAAAGCTGATCAGTGTTGTATTGGTTTGCTGTGACCCAAACCATGCCAGCAAAATGTATTACAACCACCAGATTCTTTTCAGATCTGTATATATAAAAAAATTGAAATATTAAAAAGATTTTTTTTCTATTATGAAATCATTTTCTGTCTATTGTCTTCTATATGAAAAGTGCCCTTCTTCCATTGATCAGTATAGCGAGAGTATTAGACTAAGTGCCCTAATTCAGTGATATATATTTAGATTAGGGTCTAATTCTCACTACTAATTAAATATTAACTACAACTTCCCCTTAATAAACTCCTAATCACTGCTTATTAATAGTTACTAAGCTAGTTGTTAAGTTTAGGTGTTGGTTAGGACGGAGTATCACTGAACTAAAGAATAGTGTTGCCATATGTGTGTGTATATATATATTTCTCTAATGCACGTTGGCCACAGTTGGATCAGGGTGTCTCTTATCATTGCCCTGATGGAAGATCCAACCATGACCCATTATATGATTTCTAGCAGAGGCTGTCAAGTTTTCATTTTCATATCTGCTATAGTATTTGCTAGAATCCACGATGCCACGGATCTGAACAAGATGTCCAGGAAAAAAACAGACCCCCAACATTAAAGATCCAGCATTATATTTAATCATACACATGACATTTGGTACTCTTTATCCCTGTGTGCATCAAGCCCATCTCAGACAACAATATTTAGCTTTTTGTTAATTATTAGATAAAAAAATAAACATATCAATAAATGTAAACAAACTAGCATGTAAAATGCCTGGCGAGGCAGTGGCCGGTCCAGAAAGAGGATGTGACATCATCATGGATGAATCTGGAAGTTCATGAACTGGTGCTGATGACTCGCGGCTCCAGTCTAATGTAAACCCGTGAAGCAGCCGAAAGCACTGACTCGTCTCTGCTGGACTCTCTTCAGTGCATGTGACGACCTTCAGTTTAATCATGTGTTCAGGGTCATTGTTTTGTAGTCTTTTGCAATAAACTACCAACTTTTTTATTTATTTACGGTGCTTTTCACCCATTTACACTACCGTTCAAAAGTTTGGGGTCAGTGAGAATTTTATTTTTATTTTTTGGAGGAAAGAAATCAATTATCAAGGAATAATTAATTTGATCGAAAGTGACAGTAAAGACATTTATAATGTTACAAAAGATTCTAACCCTAACCCTATTAATCAAAGAATCCAAAAAAAAACAAAAAAAAAAAACTGTACAACTGACAGACCAACAACTGTTTCAACATTGATAATAATAATAAATGTTTCTTGAGCATCAAATCCTCATATTATACTGATTTGTGAAGGATCATTTGACACTGAAGACACTGACACTGGTGATGCTGAAAATTCAGCTTTGATCACAGGAATAAATTACACTTTACTATATATTCACACAGAAAACAGCTGATTTACACTGGAATAATATTTAATACTATAACTGATTTCTGTTGTATTTTTAATCAAATAAGCACAGCCATGGTTAGCAGAAGAGAATTATTTTAAAAGTATTTAAAATCGTACCGACCCCAAACTTTTGAACGGTAGTGTAGATAAAAGTAAAAACTGCAGAAATTGACATTTCTTGTTGTTAAAGTCTCCCTGTGGTGAAAATCCAGCTTTTAATGTTGTTTATGTGTCTATGTGGTGTTTTTAATATGCAGGTAATTTTATTAAATTGTGTTAAACTGTTTAAGCTGTAAAGCTATTAAATAATCATTTAGATATTCAGTTTACTGTTGGCTGTTGTTACACTGTCATCCTGAATATAACTTTACACTGAAAAGGTAGTAGGTAGTTACACACGTCTGTTCAGGACTAGGAAATTAATGGTTGTGCTAAACAACATTGTGAGTGAGTGTGTGCGAGTGTATGTGTGAAAGTGTGAGCAAGTGTATGTGTGAAAGTGTGTGTGTGAGAGGAGAGAGTGACTGAGTGTCTTAGTTAAAGAGTATTTGTGAGAGAGAGAGTGACTGAGTGTGTGCATGCGAGTGTGTGCAGAGAGAGTGACAGTGTCCGTGTAAAAGAGTATGAGTGAGTGTGTGAGTGTCTGAGTGAGCGTGTGAGAGAGTGACAGTGTCCGTGTGAGAGTATGTGATGGTGTGTGTGTGTGTGTGTCTGAGTGAGCTTGTGTGAGTGTGTGACTGGGTGTGTGTGAGAGTATGTGATAGTGTAAGTGTGTGTGTGTGTGTGTGTGCGTGTGTGACAGAGAGAGAGAGAGAGAGAGAGAGAGAGAGAGAGAGAGAGAGAGAGAGAGAGAGAGAGAGAGAGAGAGAGAGAGAGAGAGAGTAAAATCCAAATGCCGGCGTGATGAAATGAGTTCATTTATCTAAACAGCCGCTCTGAAGAAAACAGTGATGTCATCGTCTAGCTCAGGTCAGTTCTCATATAACAGCGTCAGTGCAGGACGATCAATAATAATGTTGAATATTAAGTGTCTCCAACTAAACACGCCAGAGGAGACAGTGGGGCCCCGGGGCCTATGCCATGAAGCCAGGTATGATTCCATTTATTTTGTGCCAACCCTGAGTTTGAGGCACCATGAAAGTGGCTGGGCTTTTAGCGTTGTTCATCGTATCTTGTGCTCTTGTGTTCTAGATCTCAAACCAAAACTGGACCCGATCAGCTGTGAGCAGCGTGACACATGACTGATGCAGTAAAGCCACTCCCCCAGTTTCTCTTAATCCAAATTAAAGAAGTAACAGTTACAGATGGAATACCATCATGGTACGAGCCCCAGTTCTCCTCCAGACGATCGGACATAGTGAGGTTTGATTCCAGGCATTGATATCATTCAGAATATTTCATCCAGTTCCTTCTGCTTGAAAAACAGGATACATTATAAACGAGGAACTTTACAGTTATTAAACCGAACTGAAGAACTGATTTCAACTGAATATCAACTTTTTACAGTAGAATTTAATTCTGTTTGCATCATTATCTGTTTCCATTCAAAGTTGCGAATTTAACTTGTGCGCAAAATTGTAAATTCCCTTAAATTATTTGCAAATAAAGCCGTTTCCAACCCATGTGTTCGAAAGAAATGGTAATTTCCTGGGAAATCGGCACAAAATGACTCTTTGACTCTATTTTCCTCCATCATACAGTAAATTTACCGTCTCAGAAACACAATAAACGATGCGGTGTTCTCTTGCCTTCAGACGCTGGTGTTCGGGAACACAATTGTGTGGGACGCTTCTGGGCGGAAATAAACCAAATCATTCGGACTCTGGTTCAGACATTTCAAAATGACCAAACCAACATTTGATGCGATTGGTCCGCTGGATAGTCCAGTTATCCAATCACATCCTCTGTTGAGGCAAAGTCATGTGAGGTGTTTTATGTTGCGCATCAAGGGATTAATCCAGTAAATGTATCATCATAGTGTATGCGCATGTCTCCTTATCGGAAAAAAAAAACATCCTCAATTGAGTGCATACGTTTTTATGCACATTTTTTATTTGTGCGCATCTTAGCATTTCCATCCATCGTATTTTTTATGCGATATCCCAAAATGCGTATAAAAGTGGATGGAAAATAGCTATTGAATCATAAATGTCCTGTTATCACTGTAAAGCTGCTTTGAAACAATCTGTATCGTATAAAGCACTATGTAAATAAAAGTGACTTGACTATAGTGTCCTGATTTGTTAAAGTCCCCCTGTAGTCAATAATTGTAACATCTTTGATCACCAAAATTACATAAAGTTTTTTTTAGAGCTGTCAAATGATTAATCACGATTAATCACATCCAAAATAAAAGTTTTTTTTACATAATATATGTGGGTGCACTGTGTATAATTATTTTGTATATATATATATAAATACACACACATGCATGTATATTTAAGAAAAAAATATTATTTATATATAAAATATTTATAAATCTATATACAGTATATACATGAAAATATTTCTTAAAAATATACAAGCATGTGTGTGTATTTATATATATATATAAAATAATTATACACAGTGCACCCACATATATTATGTAAAAAAAACTTTTATTTTGGATGTGATTAATCACGATTAATCATTTGACAGCCCTAGTTTTTTTCTTGACAAAAACATTTATTCATGCCTTAAAATATGTTACTCGACACCCTTGCCTCATTTAGTATGCGTGGTTCTATGAATATGCAAATGAGCCCCGCCTCCACTCACTCACTCAGCTCAGAGATCCACTCGCTGACAATCACACGTTGATCTGATTGGTTACAAGGTCGTTTGTGACGTCAGAAACACCAGCGATTTCAAACCGTGTTTTTGAGACTGTCTTTGGTTCACTGCAGTTTTAAGGAGGAAATACTCAGCAATGCTGTCGACTTATGAATTTACACATGCTTTGTCTTAAAGCACATTAAAAACAACACATAAACAACATTAAAAGCTTGATTTTCACCACAGGGGGACTTTAAAAGTGCCATTGATCATGCAGAGAGACCCATCAATGTTTCTGTCGACTATCAATAACGTTTCTCAACATTAGGTTCGATTAATCAGGCTACTCGTGCTAATTCCTTCACGAGTTTAATCAGACATAATCAAGAACATCAGAAGTATAAAACGATGTCACCTCATTGGCATAACTGGAGTTTTACAGTCTGCGATTCTTTCTGGTTTGCAGTGAGTCCTCGTTGGTCAGCGTGACTTGGGACAGTGTCTCTTGACGTGGGTCAGTAGATTGCTGGACTGTGTGAACCTCCTCCCGCAGAGGGGACAGTGGTACGGCCTCTCTCCCGTGTGCACCCGCTCGTGTCTCTTCAGGGCCCCCGAGTGACTGAAACTCCTCCCGCAGTGGGAACACTTGTAGGGCTTCTCTCCGGTGTGAACCCGCTGGTGCATCTTCAGCGCGTTGGCCGTGACGAAGGCGCTGCCGCACTCGGAGCACACGTGATCTCTCACACCCGTGTGTATGTTCTCGTGATCTTTGAAAGTGCAGAGGCGCGAGAAGCTCTTGCCGCAGATGGAGCACAAGAACGGCTTCTCGTTCGAGTGAATCGACAGGTGCGTTTTTAAGTGCGACGCCAGGATGAATTTCTTCCCGCACTGGTCGCAGGTAAACGGCCGCTCGCCGGAGTGATAGCGCAGGTGACCTTTGACGTCCGTGGCCCGTTTGAAAGTCTTCCCGCACTGGAGGCACGTGAACGGCCTGGCTTCGGTTCTCTTGGTTCTGTCCTGGTCAACGTCCTGTGACGGACTGAACGCTTTTTCTCCAGCTATGAAGTGCGTAGGTTTCTGATACTGATGGTCCGACTCATGGTTGCACGCCACTTCATCGGGTTCTTGACCTTCCTCTGTTACTTCTGCCGAGTCTAAAATGAACAAATGATATGGTCAAAATTCGAGAGGGATACGTCGTGACGGTGAAAACTGTCGGTAAGGCACAGATGTTAGGTAAGCATTTCGATCTACTTGGTTATGATAACACATTTATCAGCGCTAACTAAAAGCAATTTTCATTCTACGTGCATTTTGATTTTTTGGTAACACTTTACAATAAGATTTCATTAGTAAACGTCCCCCAGTAGTTAATCATTTTATCCCTTAAAACGCACCTTTGATCACCAAAATGACATTTCAAATTTTTTTTGTGATGCCTTAAATTGCATGAATGTAACTCGACACCCTTGCCTCATTTAGTATACGCGGTTCTATGAATGTGCAAATGAGCCCCGCCTCCACTCACTCACTCAGCTCAGAGATCCACTGGTTGTCGATCACACGTTGATCTGATTGGTTACAAGGTCGTTTGTGACGTCAGAAACACCAGCGATTTCAAACCGTGTTTTTGAGACTGTCTTTGGTTCACTGCAGTTTTAAGGAGGAAATACTCAGCAATGCTGTCGACTTATGAATTTACACATGGTTTGTCTTAAAGCATATTAAAAACACCACATAGACACATAAACAACATTAAAAGCTGGATTTTCACCACAGAGGGATTTTTACTATATTAGTTTCCATTAACTAAAAATAAAAAATATTTCAAAAGCATTTATAAATCTCAGTTAATGTTATTCTCAACATTTACTAATACAAGATTAAAATCAAAAGTCATATCTGTAGTAACATTAGTTAAAGGCACACTGTGGAACTTTTCAACCTTTATAATATATTACCAAAACCCATTGAGATGGTACATCGACTTACAATAGGTTGAATGACACGTCTGCCGAAGCCTGAAGGTGTCTGTATCGCTTTTACTAGCACTATGTAACTTCGGGGTTCGGGTAGGAACCCGAGCACAAAAAGAACTACAAAATTCGACCGCTTTACGGCATACGTCACTTCCCCCACCACCCCAACTTCCTCAAATTCTAACGTGAGAGCTCAACTCGCGTTTGATTGCCGGCGTCTGTATGTTGTCGTCATGGCTGAATCAACAGCTACTCGGAAGAAAGCGAAGAAAGCAAAGATTTTGTCAGAGGAGACCAAAAAAAGAAAAAGGGAGAGTTTAAAATAAACATCGGCATAAAAGTGTATATATAATGTAATATTTACTGCAAATTCGTGTAACAAAACTGATATAAGTCACAACATACTGCCGTATACAAATGTAAATGTTTTTTTTCCTTTCAGCTCATATATGTTTGTATTTGTGTAAAAGGAAAAACAAACTGAAGACTACAAATAACGGAAATATGTAGTGAGTTATATCAGTTTTGTTACACGATTTCCCGACTACTTGATTTCATCTCCAACCCATTGCAAAGAGATCCTGAAGACGTTAATTGTTTGCTTCAGGTGTGTTTGATTAGGGTTGGAGATGAACTGTGCAGGACAGACGATCGGCAGGAGCAGGATTGGGCAACCCTTGTCAATGCGACTTACCTGATCAGACATTGTTTTCTACTTTTATTCAATTTGTTTTCTTTAAAGGATTTATATTATTAATCTTATATTTATATTATTATTTTGGTCAGTAGTGAATCGATTAACTTTCTCCAACATACAAATCAAATGCCGTCTGCACACACATAAAGACACGGGAGGTTGACCGGTTGACTGTTTGTTGACTTTTGCGACAATGCTGCGGCGCTTGTGGCCTCTAGGGGCACTAGACGTGAAAATTACAGGTCGAGCGCACCTTAGTGGCCAAAAATTCCACAGTGTGCCTTTAATGAACCTGAACTAACAATGTATTTTGAATAATTAATGTTGAAAAGATTAACAAGTACTGCAAAGAATGTATTGCTCATTGTTCATTAACTAAACTTAACTAAAGGAACCTTATTGTAAAGTTTTACAGATTTATTTTTTCTCATCACTACATCTGCATTCCCCTACAAATGAATCAAGATTGGACACAAACCTTTTTGTTCCTCATCGTCATCTTTGTTTTCTATTTGCGATGGCTCTGGATCGCTCATGTCTTCCTCTTTAATAAAAGACAACTTTACAGTATTATGCTATGAAGATCTCCGTTGTTACACCTCGTTTTTCCTGGTTGACTGGATACACTTCTTCATTTGAAGGATGGTAAAACTATTCCGCATTTACTGGCGAATTGCACTAAAGGTGCCAGATCTAAGGAAAACACACAACAATAAGATATTGAATTTAATAGGCAATACTGTTATTTACACTACCTGTGATTATATTTCGATAAGAGTAGCAATCCTTATGCATTTACATTTATATTTTCCTACTCATTCTTTTTACCTTCGCAGTTAATAACATACTTTATTAAATGAAATGAGAGACAGATACAACAAAATATTTATACAAAACAAAAATATTAAGTAAAAATATGGGTAACACTTTATTTCAATGTGTCCTGGTTTCACGTTACATATTTACTATACGAATTACTATAAACTAGGCATAATTATACGCAACTAACCCTATATTAAGTATGTACTAGTTAATATTACTCAGTCCTATAACAGAAACAGTATAAAAAAAACGGTATAAAGGCATTTTCTCATGCAACATTAAATTCATAACATCTCACAATGTAATTTTGACATTTTGTGTGAGCAGTCTTCTTTGTTTAAATTGTTAACAACTTACTGTTTAACTCATACATGTGTCTACTTCAGTGACTTGCTCTTTTTATTGGTTTGTTTGAGAATTCCTGTGCACATTGTCTGATACTGTCAGTTTATTAATATCAAATTTAGGTCTAAGAATTACTGTGCACTTAATACTGTACAGTTTATTAATATCAAATGTAAGTCTGAGACCCTTGGTGCTCGGCAGATACGGTCAAATGGTTATTGAATTACCTCTTTTATTTACTCCTGACATTTCCAGCAGCGAAATCATGCGTTTATTCAGGATAAAGCGCTGCTGGTTATACGGAAAGTCTCGCGCGTACGTCAGCTACTTACGACAGTTGTTACTGGGGCGTCAGTTTTTACGTGACAACTTAGTCCAATGCAATTGAAAGAAAGAAAAAAAAAGTTTATTAGATAAAAACAAACAAACAAAGTATCCGCAAGGAAACCCTCTTGTATGGCCTTTCACTAGATCACTGTTGTTTTGCTTTGGCGTAAACTCCTCCCAGTGTCCGCGTTTGTAGTGACTGAATCATGTGATCAATCGTCCAGGCTCACGTGACGCATCTCTCGCGTTATTTCGGGTTTCTTCTCACTGCACAGGCTTGTTGTTTATTTCTCCCCATTTCATTCATTCATCTTGTATTTTAAAGCATGTATTAATCTTCGTTAATTATGTTTGTGTACTGATATAGTAGGCACGGGGCTAGTAACACACAAGTTTCCAGTTTCCACACATAGCAGCATGACTTAATACATTAATACACTTAATTCACTAAGTGAAACTAATGAAAATCCACAGAAGAATACTGACCGTCATGGGGAAATCTAAGAGTCAAAATAAGATACACTGGTGTTTTTCATCTCTTTACTAATTTAATTCATTTTACTCTTACATAATTGTATAACTGTATTTATCTCCCTTAATTCCTTTTATAATTGCTTTAATTCCCCTGCTTTTATTTTGTGTCTATTTTCTATGCAAAGCTCTATGATTTGCTATAGTGTGATTATTATAATTCCTTTCTATGTAAAGCTTTTGAATAACTTTGAATTTTCCTTGCTTTTATTTTGTGATTATTTCCTCTCTATGTAAAGCACTTTGAAATGCCATAATGGGCTATAAACTTGCCCTGCCTAAGTGGATTTACACAAGCTGAGAAAGTGAAAGTGTTTGTCAAAAATCAAAGGGGTTGTGCCCCGCTATCATGCGTGTTTCATGTGTAATGTCACATTCATGATCACCTTCTTGATTAAAAATTATTTTAGTAGACTATTTAAGGTGCACACAATAATTTACTATAAACACATCATAAAAATGCAAATGTATATTGTTCCGATATAGATTAAATATTACCTTCTCGTAAATAGTTAATCTTATAAACCTTTAAAGCATGATTTACAGATTTACTCAACTATGAAACAAAGGCTATCACCGAAACCAATACTGTGCCTGATGGATTTTTTCCCTCAATTTATGAAGATGAAATAACCACCAGAAACACACCAGACTCGGAGACGGGAATATTGTCAAACCCAAACAGGTAGCCTATTTATTGAACAGATGAAACAGGCGAGTAATAGTGAAGTCAAGAGTGATGACTGATGAATAGTGAAAAACAAAGTCATTTCCTTTTTACCAGGTAGCTTGAGATGAGGCGATAACTGTGGGAATCTGGAAATATGTTAAAAATCCTATAATATAAAAGTAATAATAAAACACGAAATGGCGTGTTGGTGTCATTTCCCCCATAAGTGTTTACATGATCAGTAAACCAAATGCTATAACCTATTTGTTGTATTTAACATACAAAAATGATGGTTACTTAATGGAAGGTAAAATTATTTAAATTTAGTTGAATTGATTATTAAAGGGGGTGTTTAATAAGCTGCATGTGCCACTTTATGTTGTGTAACACCACTGCAACTGTATGCTGTTGATCACACAAACTTATTGGAAACACATGGAATAAATCTATCATGAATCACTATGAATAACACATTAACAGTCTCATCCGTTACTGCAAACCTTATTTATGCACGATGCTGCAGACTGACGGCAGAAGGTCTGCCATGAACTTTACATACTTCACATTCTTTAAAAAATCCAGCGTTTTGTTGATCCTGATAAGCTCTCATTGTCACAGTTGTGAATACGATTAGAGATGTTCCGATACCCTTTTTCCCTTTCCGATACCGATTCCGATACCTGGACTCAGGGTATCGGCCAATACCGAGTACTGATCCGATACCTGGGTGTGTACAGTATCTATACAGCTGCAATTCATACTAGCACTGTATGAAGAATTGATAGAATTATTTTATGGTGTGTTTCAGACTTATCCCTTAATTAAACATGAACAAATACATACAGTGAACTAGAGTATTTTTATTATCTGACATACATTTCACAGCAATATTAAACTAGTATTAGGCTATTAGAAGTCATGTATAAATGTATAAAATTGTGGAACTATATGCAACTATAATAACTAGCACATGCCTGAACAAGACTGCTTGTTGCAAAGGAGGGTACAGCAAGAATACTGCAACATCCATAAAGGGCGGGAGACACAAGGCGGCGGTTTTTGAGTGTCGGTTGGCTTAGCGGCTGTTTACACGACACCGTTTTCAACTAAAAACGTAAAACTTTTTATGCGTTTTGGCCGTTCGTTTACACGACATCGGCGTTTTGGTGGCCTGAAAACGCTAAGTTTTGGTTTCAACAGGTTTCAAAGTGAAAGTTTTTGAAAACGGTCTCCGTGTGAACAATAAAAACTCAAATTTCTGAAGACGATGACGTGATGCACATGCGTATTACGTGTTCAGTCTACAGTGTTTCATCGCCATCTAGTGGTCTGGCAGGAGAATACAGCATTTTTAGTCCTTTACGCGGATCCGTGTGAATGGGGATCATTTTGACAATGGTGTCGTCTGTACGCGGAAAACACAAATGAAGAACTTCTCCGTTTTAAGCGTATCGTTGTCGTGTAAACGTACCCTTAGTTTGTTCTATGTGTTACGCACCGTTGGCTCTAGTCGGAATCAAGCAAAAGTGATGAAAGCGAGCAAAGAAGTCAAGACTGTTAAAATTTTATGTCATCTTACCTGAGCATTCAAATGCACAAATATTTTCATGACAACATGAGCCGACTACAATGAAGACAGTGATCAGCATGATTGATATTCAAAATGGTAAGCAAGCGCTGCTTTGTTTTTTTCGATTTGTATATCTACAGTCCTAGTTTCGATTTCCCTTTTTGAATGACGAAAATAGACTGTTGAAACCTTCTGATATAGACGGTTATTTCCTTACACGCAGGAGCAGAACGCACGTGATAGTGGACAGTCGCCTTTAGTCCTTTTGGTGTATTCAAGCGCAGCCTTTTCATCGAAACGCAGTCAACGAGAGGCAACAACACAAGCCGCGTTTCCATTACCCTTCAAATTGCGCAAATTGAAATTGCGAATTGAAAATACGCACAATGGAAACACGTCAATTTCGCAAAAACTCCCGTTTATCACCAAAAAGTTTTTACGCTCGCATGAGGAGGTTTTTCGGGCAATTCAAAAACGGTATATTTCGCAAAACTGCAATGGAAACAGTTTTTGCGCATTTACAGTCACCTGACTTAGAAGGCGCGGTGTGTTTGGACAGAATACGAGACAGAGTTCTTTATTAAATTCATAAAAGACAAACGAATTATAGGAATACTGGATTCTAAACCTCAAAGAGATCCCACAATCAAGACCTCGGAGCAGAAATGAGGGAGAAACAGAGAAACTCCTCATATGTGCCGTTCACAGTATAAGGGTCTTTCCTTGCCATTAATGCTTGGATAACACGCCAACGTCTCCTTCCATTAATAATAATAATGTCTAGTGCGGTGGCTGTGATATAGGCTATAAACCTACCAACGTCCGTTGCCATGATTTTTGTAATGACTTATCGCGAGAGGAAAAAATGCTTTAAAAAATGTTTTAGTCGCATAACATCGGTTAATGGAAACGCTGTCATTTCGCAATAGTTTTTTAACGATATTTAAAAAAATAAATTCGCAAAAGTTAAACACGCCTAGTCAGCTTTCGTCACCGCTAGTTCTTTGACGTCGGCTAGGTGTGTCCCGGGCTTCAACATGACATCATGACTTTGCGTAAACATACACGCCACTTTCAAGTCAAGTGGTGTGTTATCTATACGCATTTTGAGCTATCCGCGTGTATGTCCACGCCGAAATCTTTTGCGTGTATGTCTACGCCATTAAATGTCCGAGTGATTCCGCGTGTATGTGTACGCCGTTAAATGTCCGAGCGAAACGAAGCAAAATCTATATCTACATCTGTGGAGCGATATTTCTTTTCCTAGGATGGTAGGAGAACACTCATAAATGGTATTAACCCCAGTGACGGGTAGGTTTAGGGACGGGGTTGGGGTAGGTCATATATCTATATATACATAATACAGTAATATAACGTTAAGTCAAAGGCGTTGATAAACACACTGAAAAGCGATTATGCGTGTTGATAGCACGCCAAAAATGGAAATACGAATTGGCATGTCATACATACGCCATTTCATGAGATCAGTCTGCGGGCTTAAGAGTAATTAACTATATCAACAGAAAGTATAGTCTCTTTAATTATCAATATATATCCCTTGTCAACAGCTAAGACTTACAAAATGGTGTGGATTGCAAATAACAACAAACAGACATCAATGCCATTGTTAATTAAATCGGTACTATTGCTCCTCACACATAGTCATATAAAAACATTCCTATTTAGGCCCTAATTTTAAGATTTATGTATTTCAATTGCACATAAAACTTCCATTCATTTAGATTACAGTTTTAAACTAATAAGCTTAATGTGATGCATATTTGTCAGTCATACATGAACGAACGAAACGGGTGCAATGTCTGTAATGGTACTAATAAACTTAATGTGCTTTAAATACACAGTAACCAAGTTTATATATTCATCATCAATAAATCCAATTTCTTTCCATATCAAACATTTTACCTAATTGAATTTTGCTTGTTTCACAGCTAGTTTTAAACACTTTTTCACTGAATACATTTAACTGTTTTCACAATAAACAGATTTATGCTGATTCCAAGCAATTTAAATACTACTAGTTAATAAAACTATGCCATTTATTGTTTTATTTATAAATGACTGACAAATATGAATCACATTAAGCTTCATACTTTATGTAAAATCAAAATGGATGGAAATTTGATATGAAATTAAAATACATACATCTTAAATTTAGTCCTAAAAATGTATTGAGTGTAGAAAATAGTAGCATTTTCATTTTATGAACCAATAATCTGTGTACTTTATTACTGCGCCCCTTATTTTTGGGTCTATTTTTTTGTTTTTTTTAGATACCATTTACACCGTTTCCATTTCTTTGCCTAGTGAGCAGAGTATTTTGCTATGAGTCCGTAGATTCCTGGATGAGCTGAAACTCTTCCCACATGATGGGCAGTGGTACGGCTTCTCTCGCTCGAGTGTTTCCAGGGATCCTGAGCACTTGTAGGCTTGGTCTTCTTCGTGATTTCTTTGGTGCATTTTCAATTCGCGAGCTCTAGAGAAAGCTTCACCACACTCGGGGCACTCGTGAGCGTTTACAGCGCCGTGCGTCTGCTGGTGCTTCTCGTTCGCATTCATCTTTGGGTGTTTTTTATGGACTGATGGCGATTTAAAGCACAGGTGAGATTTGAGACTGACCTCCTGTATGAAACTCTTTCCGCACTGATCACACGTGTAAGGCCGCTCTCCAGTGTGAATTCGCATGTGCACGTTGAAGCTTTCTTTGCGTTTAAAAGCTCTCCCGCAGTGCTGGCACGTGAACGGCTTCTCTCCGGTGTGAACTACCATGTGAATCTTCAGGTGCGATTTCTGCGAAAAACTCTTTCCACACTGAAGGCACGTGAAAGGTTTCTCCTGAGTGTGGATTCGCACGTGCAAATTAAAGCTCCCTTTACATTTGAAGGTGTTTCCACACTGAAGGCACGTGAAAGGCTTCTCTCGCGTGTGAACTCTCATGTGAATCCTCAGGTTACCTTTTTGGGTGCAAGCCTTTCCACACTGAAGGCACGTGAAGGGCTTCTCTCCAGTGTGTATTCGTATGTGATTCCTAAGGATTTTCCTCTCTGTGAAACTCACTCCACACTGCTGACATTTGAAAGGCTTCACTCCGGTGTGAGTTCGCATGTGCATATTAAGGTTTCCTTTGCTTGCGAAGCTCTTCCCACACTGATGGCACGAGAACGGCTTCTCTCCGGTGTGAATTCTCATGTGAGTTTTCTGGTTTACTTTCTGTGTGAAACTCTTCCCACACTGACGACACGTGAACGGCTTTTCTCCAGTGTGAATTCGGATGTGATTTTGAAGGATCCTCTTCTCTCTGAAACTCTTTCCGCACTGAGGGCATGTGAACGGCTTCACTCCGGTGTGTATTCTCATGTGCATATGAAGCCTTTCTTTGCGGGTGAAACTTTTCCTACACTGAGCGCACGTGAAAGGTTTCTCTCCAGTGTGGATTCTTAAGTGCCTCGTCAGGAATCGTTTCTGAGTGAAAACCCATCCACACTCTGAACAGGTGAAAGACCTTTTGGTTTCTTTTCGTTTGGCCTTTTCTTGGTTCATATCTGTGTCAGTCTGTAAGCAACTTAAAGAGTTGTCTTCGGTATTGAAATTCTGATCATTCAGTTCTTCATTTTCTTCTTTCACTTCCACTAACCCTAAAGTGAGAACAAACAAGAAGTCAAAATTCATTCCAAGATGGGGACAGGTTATCTTTTAAGGCCCTGATATACTCATGACATTTCATTCTTTTCTACGCTAAAAAGTTGGAAATACCTTGCAGTTGTATACTGTTAGCAAGCATCCTGAAGTGATGTTTAGATGAATATGTAAATATGTGCCAGCTCTGCAATTTAGCCATCCAGTCGAGTCGGGTCATGTTTATTTACCAATTTATACCAGAGGTCTTTAGGATTGCTTGAAGAATCACAGGCTGGAAATAAACTTTGCAGGACAGTGGGTCTCCAGAAGCAGGGTTGCATAATTTTACTCATTCCCGCAGGTTTCGCACCAAAAGCGCATGCACCACTGATCTATACAAGTGGCGCTCTCGTAAAGCTGCCTCTCAAACAGCTCGGAAGTACCAAATTGTCTTCTTTTTCATTGCGCTTAAACGTACAAATACATAATTTGTTTTGACATTTTCACATAATTTTGTGCGTATTTGGTACTTGTGACTGCTTGAGACTGATAACAGACTGTGCAACACAAGCACTATTTAACTGGAGCAAATGAGACGAGTGAGTGAGTGGAGGCGGGTGTGTGTCAATTCGCCATCAGAGAGAATTTGATTTGATTTATTTAATTAAAGCAATTTAGAAGAGCCCGAGAATGCGCAGCTGGTATATCGTTCAGATCATTTCTGCAGTATCAATAGTCCTCAGATGCCAAGGCCGTAATTTATAGCAAAATATCTGGCATTAATTTGATCTCATGATGTTATTACTCCACCACCTGCGGGACATCATTGACCAGCGCGGTTGAACGAAAAATTTGCGACCAGCTAGTAATGATGTATCGTACTATGGTAGATCCGCAGTGAGTTTCGTGGTTGTTCGGGAAATGCACCCCAGACATGTAAAGCATTTCCTTTGTATTCCTGGCACAAGCGATTCAGCGCAGAGTTTTCTCTTTACTGCAGGACACATCGTTACTGTAAACAGAAGCATCCTGAAAGCTGAGCATGTTGACCAGCTTATCTTCCTCCAGAGAGATCTTAACATTAAAAAATAAAGACGGATAGAAATACAAACAAACTGAAATCCAAGTTACCAGGATCTGAGAATGTTCAACATCTGTATTTATTTTATTGTGTACATACGTTTAAAGTTTTCTTTAGGAATCCTGCAAGAACTTTATTTTTTATTGATATAAGGGAAAGATGAAAATAAGGTTTTGTGTCATGTTGATTCTATTTGTGTAAAGCAACTCCAGCAGTGTTAGAAAGATTGTTGTAGTAAGTGACCTAAAGGTGTGTGTGTGTCTGCAGTATTTAATATGGTGCGTTCAAATCATGTCGGAAAGATCGTATTTTATGAGTAAAATAAACAAAAACATAAAAAAGCAAAATACACCTGATGCACGTTCTTAGATTTCTTGAAGTAGAGTTTAACAACCATGCTGTATTTTGTGTAGTTAATTCCGAAAAGGTACACCACCATCTTGCCCCAACAAGTTACGCCCTGTCAAGTCGTATTTACTTATTTACTTCTGGGAAACTCAGGGCTAATTTTGATACCCAAGGGGAGAACGATTGCTGCTATGACTGGTATTTTTTATATATTTTTTCCACAACCACTTCATCTTGTCTTGTCATTAAAGTAATAAACATTTAAAAATGCTCATAAGGTCTGCTCTCTATAAATATTTTATTGTGAACAGGAGATAAAGTTAACTTAAAAGTTTATTTCCCAGTAAATAGGCAACAAAAAACCTGGTGTCCCCCTTGATTCCTGTTCTTTACCACAACAAAGCACTTGAATGCGACGAGCTCATAATCACGACTTCAGAAGTGGGAAGTAGGAAAGTTCCCAAAGCACATGAGCAGCATTAAGGGGTAAGCGAGGGACAACAGTGTAATTATAGACTTAATTACAGGGCTCCACATTAAAGCTTGTCCGGGACAAGTGGATTTTTTGAAGGGACAGGTTAAAGATAATTGTATTTGCCCGACCGGACAAGTAGCCTGATTAGAACGTCAATAACAAAATAATAACTAGTAGGGAATCACTAAAACTAGAGAATGATTCTAATTTGATGACATGTATTGTAAGTTACGATCGATAGTGGATAATAAATGTATAACTGACGGTAACAATGTTGTGCTGTTGAGTGTCAGCACACACAAAATAAACTCAGTTAACTACAGAATGTATAATAATTGTATATTTAAAACAATCTCATAACATTATTTAATGCAATTGTAATTTTTCAGTGTAAATTAATTATTTTGATCAGCCCTACCTAGGGTTATTATTCTAAATAATTTAATTTATTGATCAAATTTTGGAATTTAAAATGAAAGATGATGAATACATACAAGTTTTTTTTTGGGGGGGGGGGGGGGGGGGGGGGGGGGCTTTAAAGGTGCAGATATTTCAATATGCAGATTTCAATATATCAAAGAACACTGATGAGAATATTGCTTCAGAATAAATTATATCTACAACACACACACACACAAGAAATGTGAATGACTGATTGAACATGAAAGGTTGTCCACTCCTGCATTAATTACAGCTGTAATTACATGCAGATAATTTTTATACAAGTTAAGTTACAATGCAAAAAAACCACACAAAAAAACATGAATACAAAATAAGTGCATTTATCAAATTATCCATTTAAATGTTAAATTAAAGTGGGACCTGATACCATATGATCACTTAAATGTGTATGTATAACTACAGCCAACTTTGTTACCGTTTTGTTCCATAGCAGTTATTAATGAATGAATAAAGAATGGACACCAACCTATTTGTTCCTCAGTATCTTCTTCTTTCACTCTGCATGGCTCAGGATAACTCATGTCTTCACTCTCCTCTTTAATAAACGCCATCGTTATAACAGTATGTCTGAACTGCACACTTATTTACCACACAGATCCTGCTCGCTTTAGTTTCAAACGCATCTTCGCCACATTATTATAATGATGAGATTATACGCAATGAATCCCAACTCGCACACTTCTTCAACGTAGTAAACGTGCTTATACCGAACTAGTTCAACTTTAAAGTACGCTCGTTAGATGTGGTAACTTAGATGTGTGATACGCTGTACAAACAACTTTGTAGCGCGTGTGTTGTTGTTGTTGTTCTTCTTCTTCGGTTTATTGGCGGTTCGCGTTAGCGAGTGTCTGCCGCCGCCTACTGGGCTGTAAGAATGATCTTGTTTTTGATGCTAAATGTAAAAAAAGAAAAGAAAAACAAAGCATTGAATGATTTTTTTGTTCAAAAATTTATAACATTTATAATAATGAGCGAGTACATCCTGAATCAAACAGTTTTAATTACCTGTAGCTTTCAGTTTACTTGTGTATGTTAGACTTTCTGAAATTTGTACAGTTATTTACTAGACTATCACCCAGTATAATAGTGCAAATTCTCTTTTGTTCTCTCTAATGTTTCATTTTACAAACAACTTTGTTAGCTTATTGAATTACCGAATTAAAATCATTTTAATGAGCAATGCTTAGCTTAGCTTACATTAACGTATGTGAAATTCTGTTCAGGTTCGTTAACATTAGCTATAGCCTAGCCTATGAGCATTGTATGTTTGCTAAGTTAAACAAAGGTTTTATGGCTAGCCACCTTTCTAGTTTTAGCATTGGTTTGTTACATTTTTCCTAATGGAATTTAAGATTTACTGCATTTTTTTTGTGTGTTTTAAAGGCAAATGCAACAAAGCCAAAGACATTCCAGCCCTGCCGAGACTCACAACTCTTGCTAAGAGAAAACTTAATCTCTTAACTTAATTTTGAGAGGTTTAGCTATTCTACTTCTTGTTTTCAGTGAATACATTTCTGTTACATATCTGTTACAAAGATAATGGTGAGCAAAGGTGCCATCCGTTGGGTTTTGCAGACGCCTTAGATGTATTCTTTTGCTGCTTATATTTTTTCCCATTCACTTTCTGTTGCCTAAAGCTTCTTTGTGAGGATAAATCCAGAGGATACAACATAATGCACCATGAAAAGTTGTACGACAGGAGAAATGGTGACGATGGAAAAAAGGTTATTACAAGATTCCCCTTTTTCCCCCCTTTTTTTTTGTGGCAATTCCATAATGTACAATCAGCACAATATGCAGTACAATACTACATACTAAACAAAAGTAAAAGCTAAAACAGTTCCCAAAAATTTACAAAAGTGTTTTACTTTTAATGTCTAAATACATACCTGCATGTATAAAAGGAGTAAATTGGCTTCAATAAACATTTTTAGTTCAGTTTCCCATTCATTTGCTCCAGTTAGAGCTTTGAGGTCATCTCGTGACACAAAATGCATTATCTATTCTCTGCAATGAATAGTCTTTGTATGCTTTTTTTATTTTAATTTTATTTTTTGATGGAAAAAAGTGAAGAATTAGTTTACATTACAATTATTGATAACAACTTTTACATTTAAAGGTAGAAAATAAGAAATACGTGAATACTCTGAAAACACTGCACTAAAATCATGTTTAAAAATTATTAAGATTACATGTTATAAACAATCATTTGAATGATATTTTTGGACGAAAAATAAAGAAGGAAGCTATTTTATGCTCCGGGTTATATATTTAACCTGGTCCAGAAGATTAGGGGGCCAAATATGAACAAATGACTATAGGGTTATTTCAAATTTGTCAATTTATAGCATATATCCCACGAAAAGTCATGAAAATACGTATCTATTTGTACGTAAAATTTGCACATCGCAAACGTATGCATATGACGTTTGAATGGACACATACGTACAATATACCTGTATGGGGGCTTTATAAACGTAAAATTCGTACGTATTTGCACAATAATTATGTTTAAATGCTTACGTATGGTTTATAATTTAAAGTGCATATAGGAGGAGCGTGGCAGGGAAAGGTCTGCATTTTATAATGTGTTTTTGACTACCAAA